GGGGAAACTGTCCTCGATCTATCGGGTTAAAAAACGTCCAAAATCTATCTTCCGGCATTAATCCATTTGCCAATTTTATCCATAAAAATGGTCACAAGGTAAAAACCCTGGAGACAAATTTGACCCTCCCAAACGAAAACTGGTCCGAGAATTTAGAATATTTCTCAAAATCTTTTCCAAACCTGACTTATCTCAAGGTATTTGTTGCCTTCGACTCAACTGACAGTAGCATTAGCGATACCACAATTTACGCAGTAAGCCACCCGCCCAAAACATATCTCTTTTGGAAAGTTAGGAAACTCGATATTTACTAGGGACGCCATACATATGAAATATTTGCCCAATTTATTCGCGAATTGCCTCCCTTATTTCCAAATCTTGCAAGCCTCGGCTTCCTCGGGTGTGGCCAATTCACAGTGGAAAACTTTCTCCATTGTATCCCGCGCTTGACATCTTTAACTTTGTCACATGTCGAATTAAGCGCCTCCATAAAGCAAACCGTTTTAAACGTCTCCCGCCTAGAATTACTAGACTATTGGTTTAGTCCAGCAAAATTTTCTGACATCTTAAAACTAGCCGCGAAATTTTTCGAGCATGTCAAATTAAAGGTTCCATACAATTATGAGATGTCCGAAGTCTTAAACGAATTGGATAAGTGTCCTCTAGTTTTTCCCATAATGCCGAAATTAAAGGTTTTTGAGCTCTCTCAAAATGAGTGTACTAGGTTATGACATATGTAGTTGATGCCACAAGTTAGTTTCCAAAATTTCCTCCGGTGGCCCTAATGCAAGCCGGAGTCTGAAGTGTCTCGCGTCTATAAATGTACGCACGCTTTTCACGGGATACTCGGCCCTAGCTCTGGGTTACAATTTTTTTTAGAGACTCTGCCCTAGTGTGTGGTTTAGGGCAGACCTTAACGTCAAACTTTGACCAAAAATCGTAATCCAGGGGATTGAGATCCGGTTAAGTTGAGGCTAAATGTTGGGTTGAAATAAATCCAGGAACGAGGTCACCAAACCACATTTGGACAACTTTGTCCCCGTGTGCAGGACCAGAATTTGCTGGAAGGTCCAATGTCTATTTTTAAATAGTGATAACCGAAAGGATTTCACGATATGCATATGAACCTCTTCAGTGTAGTTTTTGACTCGCAGCTGGACCCCTTGTGGTAAGAAACACAAATTTGCTTTCTCCGGCCAACTCTTTCCAAGCCAAGCCATCCCAGATCCCGGTAGATGAGCTTTTTTCGGTTTTAATCGTGTTAATTAATTGTCAGATTTACGTTTCGCATAAATCTGGTCGTTTTGTCGATTATTTTTTTTTCGACGGTAAATATCATCGCATCAGTGAAGAGGATGCTCTTGTAAGTTTCACCACCGTACAGCCTAAATCGTGCTCTGCTTTTCGTGACCCTATTTTTCTTCTGCTGCACCGGAAACATGTGAAATGTCCTTTTATCCATTGGACGAACCTTCAGGTCATTTTTGAGTTCCATTTGGATTGTCTTTAGGGCCACCTCATTCGGTAAGGCCAATTTCCATTGACGGCGGCGAGGATTTCTTCTAATTCTGAGTTTCACAACTTTAAGAATTATTTTGGTCATTCAGGTGGGAAATCGACCGGGATTTTTTTGTTAGCAAGACTAGGAGCCTAAGGCCTCCGGTTGATGGTGTCGTTCATTGTTGAGCGCTTGAAACCCCGGTGTTTGAGTCGTTCGAAAATGTCGCATGGCCGAGTTTGTGCGTTATGAAACTCAATTATTGTAACTCGCTTTCTTATTCTGTCTGTCATTTTAAAGCTATACAACCGATTAAAAAACCCTTAGAGTATATTGTTAAGGGATACTTTGCCCTTATAATCCAAGTCGCAACTTATTTTTGAGGCAAAAGATGCCTGAGATATTAGCGCGCCAACTAATTACAAACTCTGTTGACTGGACTATGTACATTTCGAGATAGGTATCCAAATTCGGTGGTGATACCGCGAATATTGCTGAAATTTTGTGAGGGTAAGAGCACGTGCAGGTTGAATTATTCGATTCAGTTCCCCGTGTTGGAAATGGTTAGGATTTCCAGGGATAACAAGTCGCAATATTTTGGAGAACGGTTAACCGAACAGGAATATTTTGAAACGAGTGTGTCATTTTTGTATAATTTTTTCCTTCATGGGACAAATTCGCGGGGTTTGAGTGTAAAATATTTGGACGTGCCGTTTCCACCCGGGGACAAGTTTAGGTTGACGACGAACGCTATTGGATGTGAGTGCAGGAAAGGTTTCTGTGAATGTTTTGAGTGGAAGGATTCTTCCGAATTTTGGGACAGGGTGGTGACCGTTTTCCCCAATTTGGTGAGTTATCAAGCCATGGAGGATAGCTGGAAGAGGGTAAGGACAGCAATGGTCAAAGAACGAGTCGAGTTATGGGAGAGGTTATGATTTGTGGGGGAATTTAAGGAGGAAGAAATGGGAGAAAACCAGATTTGAATTTGAATAATGAGGTTTATCTTAAAGTTTTGGAAAGGTCTAGGATTATAAATTGGACAAATGGTTAAGGGTTAAAGACACGATGTGCATAACTTATACATAGTGTAATGGGAGGGAATGAAATGTATTATTTAGTAGTATGCAAATACACCGCATTGTATCGACGATTTCAGTGCAAAAAATTAGTTTATAAGAAATGACTAATTATTAATTATATTATTAAAATATATAAAATATGTACATACTTCAGTGTATATTATGGTTAACCCTTTGGAAAATGCATCGTATCCAAAAACGTACATTGTTTATTTAGTTTATATGATAAGTACCAATGAATATGCTTAATTAGTTTTAGCTTATATAATGTACATATTTAAAAAGTATTAATCCGAAAATTAAGTCAAATATATATAAAATCAATATGCGTGTATTCATAAATACAATTCGTTGTCTCGCGTTTACTGATGCTTATTTCTCCGTGCTTTGTGCTTGTTAAATATTTTTATTATTCCCTAAGCAGGTACATAAATGCATGCATACATCGACTACCTGACAAATTAAGTCAGCTACATCCTCATAAGCATTAGTTTTAAGCCCAATGTGAAAACAAAGGTAACCAAACGGCGAAGCATTTTTGAAACTGGTAATAAAGGCAGCAGTTATTATTTATTATTATTTAATATTTATTATTGTTGAGATATGTAATATTTAGTGACTTTTCTATTTGAGTATCTCTACTTGGATTTACATATTTGTACCTCTGACGCATATGCAATCATTTTACTAATTGAATTGTCTTTATATTTATGTACCCAAGTTTTTCGTGAGTTTGACCATTTTCAACCATTGTTTCGTACATTCAAATTCTCAGTATTCTTCTTGACCATTTTGTATTTTTCCAGTCTCAAGTCTTAACTCTCAAGCATATTAAAAGCAACGAATAAAGTAAAAATCTTATTATTACAATCTTAGTAATTTAATTTGGTGTTCGAGTTTTTAAAATAATGTCTGTAAAATCATTATCACTTCAATCCTGCAAAATCAAATTACAACTTAATTTTATTATCACAGCTTGAAATCTCTACTCAATTTAAAATCTGAAACCTTACCCTTGAAATTATGTTAGTTACTAATTTTAAGATCAACCCAATAGAAATAGAAAATTTTAGTTATAAGATTTAAGTTTTATTGCCTCTTACATTGAGGACAATGTAATAAATAAATCTCGGAAGTGTTACGCAAGAGCATGAGAAAGGGAGATGCTGAGGAAGAGTGACAAAGATACACATCTCCGGGAAAAAGAGCAGTAGATTTGGGTAATTCGCCAAATCTAATAAATAAAACGGTATACATCGGACAAAAATAGAAGATTAGTTGAGCTAGAAAGATAGAGGGAGGAGCGAAAGAGAGGAAGGAGTTGCAGAACGACGACGAACGACGTAGGTTAGTTAGTTTAAGTAAGTTATCTTTAGCAAGTAAGTAGTAAGTAAGCTAGTTTTAAGTGTGTAATTCGAGACTGATGTGAATAAAATACTTAAGGGGATGGATAATTGTAATTATGTGTTATGGGCGGGACTTATAAACCGCATCACTTATTCGACACAGTTAATAAAAACCATAATCAATCAATCAATCAATGATGATCCCAATCTTCTCAACAAGCCTGTTATCACTTACGTCTATGGGTTTCATTAACAAGCATGATTTCCCATCAACTTGGTACTTGTCACATCTAAAAATTATCCAAAATCGTACGCAAACTTTGTCCTCGTTTTTCCATTCGCATCCACAAATAGATTTCTGACGTCAAATCCTGTAATTGTTTCAGAACTTTTTTTATAACAATTTGCATTTGAGATTAATTCAGAAGCCAATTAAAAAATTAAGCATCATAACCCGGAAACTGAATGAATTAGAACTAATTGAAATTCCGAACACCCATCGTACGCAAACTTAATCCTTTAACAGTATCATTTATGATCAATTACAAAATATGTACTTTTCTAATTTGGTCTTTTTATTGCGATTTGGTGTGCTAAACCAAATTAGACAAAGTTAAATTGTACGTAATTAATTAACAGATTTCCAATGTCAAGCCACAGTGCCAATAAGTGCCCCACCCTTCCCCGTCACTTCATCTGTATGTACGAGCGGGTCAAATTTTTATGAACATATGAATAGAATATATATGGACGAACTTTAGGCTCAACCACTATACATGATTGATGATAATTGGGAGCTTGGCTGGACTTGACAGCTGTCACACATTAATTAAATAACTTTCCAGCGAGTCTCACAAATGACACGAATTGATATTGTAATATACGTCAACTAATATATGTAATAGTATAATAGCTTGACGCAATATACGTCAATTGAAAATTTTTAGTGTATAATTTATAGGCTATTGCAACATAATTTGCGCACGAATCCATCATAAGAACGTGCGCATAAAAGTTGCATCATTAATGATGATCACACGCTTCTCAGCAGGCCTGTTATCAATTACCTCTATGGGTTTCATTAACAAGCATGATTTCCCATCAACTTAGCAGGTATATAAAGCAATACAAATCAGCAGAGAATTTTTAATTACTTAATCAGGTGAAGAGCAATTAATTTTTCATTATACCAGTTTTTGGAGTACACATTTAAGTAATATAAATACATACATATTAACTTATTTTTTGGAGATGGCGTCCTCAAAAACTTCACGCACTATAGAAATAATTAGCTTTCTCATAGCAATCGCGTCATTCGCAGAGGCATCAATCATCATTCGGTCAAATCATACCGGAAGTGACAAGATGCAGATGCTTGGAATAGTCACACCCACACCAGCTAGATGCTACTGGAGTAAGACATATACAATATTTTTAGCATTTAATCGTGTATCAAATAATCTCATCAAAATTACAGCCTGCTCGTAAACTTCATAAACAGTTTCGGGTTTGTGGTGCATGGGAATGTGTGTATGTACATGTGTGCGTGGTAAGATAGATAGCAATGACCTTCAAAACTTATAAGACGGGTTTAACAATCCCAACATATCGAATATTTGATTGCGGTTTACAAACTTCGAAAATAGTAAAAATTAAGGAAAAATATTCAGAATCCAATAAAAATTTAAAAACCTTTGAATTATTTTCTTTTAAGTTTATCATTGGAGCCATTATGGGTAGTTAATAAAGTGAACAACGCCGTACTGTGACAAAATTTAATTCACTATTAAAATTACGCAGGTCTAGAAGTTTATATAGAAATGCCTATGCACACAAAAGCTTGCATAACATTTGCTATGTTATTCTTCCCTATCCTCTCAATAGATCAATTTTACTGACTTTGAAAATTTTGAAATAAGTATGTTGGCATCCTAAATAATAGTGCACTATTTTACAGATGAAAACGGAACATTTGTGCAGATGGAGGTCACCAGCTGTACTGTTCAAGCTTGTATTATGACTGTGGGCTCAACGTACTACATATCACCGACTTTTTGGCCAGGTGGGGTTTTAAGACTTTAAACCATTGTAAAATTATGGTGGAATGGTTTTAGTGAAATAGTTTATTTAACGGGCAGCACATAACACGATCAGTATGAAATATCGACTTCGTTTCATCTATGGAAGCGTTTCATCTATGGCAACTTACGATTTTGGTACTAAAACATATACCGATTCATTCTACGGTGGCAATTCATACAAGCTGGTTGAACCTGTCACAATCCCGGCTGCCTTGCGAGGGGTAAGTTATTTATCTGTGAAATTTTTACATGCTTGGAACTCATTTTATATGTTTGCAGACATTTATATAGCTGTACCTTTGTATTTTGTAGAAAACCGGTCAGTTTGAAGTTCGCTACTATGATCAGATAAGCACACATATAAATCGATGTTTTGCTGGCTTGATTGAAAATTAAGGCCTCTCTCCAAACCTTCCATTAATAACCTATGAGTAACAATTGGCATTCCTATATAAAATTCCTTGTCCGAAATTGTGCAACTTACTTGAGATAATAAAGATTCGGCATTTTTTAGTAATTTGAACACGTTGCACATTTTAGAGATATTTTCATACTTTTGAATTTAATTATCTAGGCATTTCAAAAAAAACACCGGCCGGTTTTCCCGCATGAGAACATGTAATCTTTCACTTTCATCCAGAAGCTATTTATCTTATTTTGAACAAGTGAATTTGTGTATCAGAGTTTAATGATTTATTCTATGACATGAAAATATTTGACAATACAGAAGTCGTACATTAATGGCCCTACATTAGTTAATAAATGTTGCGCTAAAACGTAGAGAAAATTATGGCAAAATTCGTAGGAAATTCCTTTGCCTCGTTGCTGTTAGCAAAAAGGATTTAGACTGCACGGCAAGTATTTTTAGACTGTTGTCAATAGTTATTGTGGATCATGCATGTAGAAAATTGGTCACAAGAGGACTGTATTATGTTATGTGCTTGTGTGAGTGAGTGACTATTATGTAGTTTCGGTGGGTGACTGTTTCAAATAAGCGTGGTCATAAATAGTTATTTCTTAGGGTTTATTGTCACAAAATCCACCAAATAATTACAAAATGAGCGTTATAATTTATAAATGAGTGACGAGGGGACTAGAATGAGGCACTGTTCTTCCTCAGAGTTGGAGTGACACTAATTCAATTCACACAAAGCAAAAGGTCTCCTCAGCTTCACCGACCAATGGCAGAAGGCCAACAAGACGCTGGGAGGTGGGGCTGAGGAGGTCAAGTAGAGTTCAAGAGAGTACAAAAGTGGAGATAAAATGTGGCTAAAAGTCACTTAAATCGAGACTGGCTGGCACCTTCAAATTTCCCTACTCTGGTCCAGTCTCAAATACATACATACATAATACACATTTCATAATCAACATTTTCATATCACGTCAAATCATACAAATTTTGGGGTCAAATATTCATAAAAATAATTATTCAATTTCGCGACGACAATGCATGTAAAGGTTTTACAAAGATGTAAAGCATGTATACATATGTGGTCAGATTGACCAAGTAAAAATGTGTAAACTTATGGCAACACGAAGTGTCCCTTCTAATGAGGCATGTAAAACAGAAAGAACCCTTTCAATCCTGTCCTGGGAAAAAGGTTGAAACAAATGCACAGTCGTTAGAAAACTTGAAAATTGAAAAAATTATGCAAACTCGGATTTTCAACATCCTCCCTCAATTTTGAAGTTCAATATCAGCAGTTTCAACTGGATTTGCCCTAATTGAAATTACATTTGGTCGAGCTTTCATGAACAAGAAAACACAAAGAGCCGCTTGAGCGACTAATAAGAAGGGTTATAATCCACGCAATAGGGGAGTTTCACATGTTGCCCCTCTCAGATTTCGATGCCTCTTGGATATGTTGTAGTGTCCCATGATTTAAGAAGAACCCCTTGATGCCATGGCCACATGGCATCAAGCCGTTACTAATTTTCCTTGAATAACTCGACAACCATTCAAGCTAGCTTATTGAATTTCATGTCAAACTCTTCAGAGGAAGTTTCTCGGAAGAATAACCCTGCTTTTTTTCCTGAGTCTAATAGGAAGAAAGATATACATAGCATTCCCATTAAAAGTGTTAATAAAGTAAATGGCCATAAGTTCATGGTTTTGAGGAATTTGAAATTTATTTATTATCCATTGAAAACTCAATTAAATTTCAAATAGAAAACATGTATTATGCTTCAAAGTTCCTTGTATCCAAAGTCAAGATACTCGATGAATTTATTTGCAATTATGGTCATTGGGCTTCACTTGACTGGAATTATGAAGTGGTTTTTATGGGAACGGTTGCACAGCAATGCTGCAATACCAATTTGGAAGTTCATATTCGTATCGTTCCTTCTAACGGCGGAAATGGCGGTTGAAATTTCCTTAATATACTTTAGTTGGGTTAAGAAGGACACCGTGTTATTGATAAACTCCTGCCTACAAATCGAAGGAGATTACCCTGAAAAAGGTAAGCCGGTTTTAGCTTTGATCGGACTGTAGAATCTTCACCAATACTAGTTGATCTAATGGTCTTGTTTCCAATTTTTTGTTTCCTTGTTTGTGAAATGACCCTATAATTGACAAATATTTTGGTTAAGCAACTTGCTCGTTTTTAAATGTTTGCAGCGAACGAGTTTTATGTTTTATGTTTTATGTTTCTCCATAATACAATTCGCGTAAGTATATAAACCTTGAAAATTCAAAACTTGGCTTCCCTAGAATTGAACTCAGTGAGTCAAAATCTGCCTATTATCAGCATCGCATTGTTAGAAATACGATTCGTAGTGAAAATGATAGAATTTGAAAATACCATAATTAATTCTCTTGTTTTTATCGTCAGGGTTGCCTATCGTTCACGCCTATTTTATTAACCTGATCTACCTCTCGGTCGGAGCTTTGGTCACAATGCCACTCACTGTCATCATTATGGTTTTGTATTGCCCCTGCATTCCGCCAATTTTAAGCAGCTTTCTATATGTCGAATGTAGATCGTGGGACGACGCCCCACAAATGCGGTTCATGCTCAAGGCTCTGCTCACAAGTTTGTCATACTACTTCGCTGCTGTTGCGTCCGCAGCGACATTTTTCTTAGTAGTGGTAATCTTCATTTATCCCTTGGAAGTCAAAATAATGTTACTCGGAGCCATAAAGAGGTAAGAGGTCATATGTTAGAATGCCCTACTTCATAACCTCTATACGAATCTGAATTTCTCTGATTCACTACTAAACAATTTCACAGAAAGTTTCATGAAAGAGAGGTTTTCCAGTCGCCCTACCTGGTGACCTATCGGATCATTCAGCTGTTATCGAACATGCAGAATGCGGTATTGGGAATCCCCATCATGCAAGTGATAATCGGAAGCGTAACACTTACCGAAAGCTTGGCGCTATACATTCTGATAACCTCCGCATCCGCCCTGCCACCCCAATTTCTACTTTCCTTGTCCATATTTGCAGTCTATATGTTCATCGTCATTGTCGGTCCATTTAAGCTGGCCGCGAATCCGTATCAGAAGTCGGTTGAGCTACTTGGATTGCTTAAAAGTTTGAACGGTTCGAAATGGAGTAAACGTTCTGTTATGTCCTTTCCGTCGTCCAAGCTGTCACTCGGAGATGGAAAATAAGGCGATATTGATAAGGCTACATCTCTCGTCATATGGAGGAAGACGGTGGACTTCTTGATAACTTTGCTGCTCTCATAGGGTGTTGATCAATCAGTTGAGGCCTTGTTGGGCGAGCTAACATTCCCCAAACATAATTTGAAACAAAAGTACTCCGGTCAATTCAAATCCAGATAAATTGCCTTCATACATTTTTGTTTTCGTTTGCATGACCTCTGATGCTAACACTTAAAATGTAGTCCCTACGCAGTTGTTTTTCAACCCTTCCTTTCTAACCTTAACATGAAAAATGGATACATTCCCGAAATCAAATTATCGAAATTCAGCCATAAACATGTGCCATGTTTTTAATAATTCTTATTCCTCATCAAGTTTAGTTAATCAATGTAATTATGCTTGGAAATATAACGTTGTCTAACAATGCGAGGCCGTGAAGTGGTACGCTCAGATTTGAATCGGACCAACTTTATTTTGTAATCCAACTAATAATAATGAACCCATGTTTCGGCATTTTCGATAATGCTCACTTTCTGGTCCGTAATTTGACCCGAACGTTAGAAAAATGATCATTTTCTTCGTGCGAGGTCAACCGCTCGCTCCTCCGGTTCTCTCTCTTTCTCGCTCACTTCATCCTCTCGCTTGTAATGCTTATTATTTTTATGCTCGAATTGCATACACAGATATTACATTTAATACTTTTACAATATATTTAATACAATATATTTTAGCCGCCTATTACATTATCTTAATTTTCATCATTCTGATTATTTATTATTACTACAATGAAGTTTAGTTTAGTATAAATTTGCTGTCTGTATCGAAAATATTAATTGTGAAAATAAAAGAACGCTTCGATTGCGAGGATATAGATCCAACGGAAGAAGAAGCTGTGCTTGGAGACCTACTACTGGAAAAACTGTGCGAATTAGTACATGATTATGTATTTGTTGAAGACGAGGAATTGACAGAAGGTGCGTCATTTAGGTTACAAGCAACAAATAGTTTGTGATCTGATTTGTTTTGCATGAATTCCCACATTATTAGCGGACTCGCCTGGAATATGCAGTTTGGAACCGTATGAGGACGAGAACGGATGTAAAATAATTGATGACGGAGTGCATATGGAGTATAAGAAAAAAGCTATCGAAGCATTTAACAAAAACAAAAAATGGAAGTTTAGGACATTTAACCAACAATTTAAGAAAGTCAAATTCAGAAGCTATATTAAAAGATGGAAAGACCAAATTAATATGGGTGCATAATTTTATGATATAGTTTAAGCGCAATGAAATGAATTTATATTACAGTAAAAATTTATTAATATTAGGTGGCACTAAATTTACAATCATGTGTGAAATTGAAGATTTTGTTCTGGAACGGTTTCGAGAAGCCAGAAATGGATTTCTACCGATTCACACAATTGACATTAGGCAGTGGGCGTTGATTAAATCCAGGGACTATCCTGGTTTCAATTTCAAAGCATGTGATACATGGATTACTACATTCAAACACCGAAATAGAATTTCGTCTAGGAAAATTCAAAAATTGATAAAAAGATCGACAGTGAAAAATATGGATCAACTTCTTGGTCGAACTGAAAAATTCAGAAATGAAATACTATAGAAATGAAATATAATAATGCAGATACTCTTGACCATGTATGAAAAAGAAAATATTTGGAATACGGACCAGACTGGTTTTAAATACGAAGTTCTTTCTACTCGAAGTTTAACATGGAAGGGAGAAAGAACAACAATCGGAACAGCATTTTCCCCAAAAAATAAAGTGACTCATTCCTACACGGTTCAATACATAATTGCATATGATGGGTCAATTCTGCCTCAAGTTTATGTTTGCTTACAAGTACGTACATGTGTTTCTAGTTAATTCATTAGTTAATTAAGTTTTTAGTTAAAATGTAATCTAACAAGTGCTCTTTTACATATTTTTGAAAAGGAAACGAGTGGTACGTTTGGTCCTCAAGTACAACGAAGTATATTTTCTGCACCAAATCTAGTCGTTTCAGCAAGCAAGTCTGGTAAACTAACCAATACTTTGGTTGCTGATTTTCTTGACAGATTGGTAGTCCCTGTTGCCGAATATAATCAAATTCTTTATATACTAGACAATTGGACAGGCCAAACTAATATAGAACTATATGATGAAAGGTTTGAAGATAAAGAGACATTCGACTTTATACTTAAATTTGTTCCGGAAGGTTGCACGGATCTCTGCCAACCACTTGACACATATTTTCACAGACTATTGAAATTTCTAGTAAAACAGTTTTACTATTATGACTCTTTACATTGTCATCGGGAAGCGGAAGAATTGTCCGAGTTATGTTCTCGGAATGGAATATTAAAACTTCAATCACTGGTGCATTTTGTGTTAAGTGCACCAGTGTTTTTACCCATGGTTCGCTATTGTTGGTACTCAAGTGGAGTGTGGGCAGATGGTGACAAGCCTATTTTTGAAAATGTCAGTCAGGTATGTTTTCAGTCAAAGGAAACTAATTGTAGTTTAATTGATTGCGAAATAGTTTCATTCATTAAGTGTAGCTGGTGCAAGTTTTCTTTCTGTTTTACTCATTTCTATAAAAATTATCACGCAAGTAGTTGTATTAATAGTTCATAGTATGTACTCTTGGCATTTAATCAAATAAACGTATTAAATGTAATATCTGTGTATGCAATTCGAGCATAAAAATAATAAGCATTACAAGCGAGAGGATGAAGTGAGCGAGAAAGAGAGAGAACCGGAGGAGCGAGCGGTTGATCTCGCACGAAGAAATGATCATTTTTCTAACTTTGGGGTCAAATTACGGATCAGAAAGTGAGCATTATCGAAAATGCCGAAACATGTGTTCATTATTATTAGTTGGATTACAAAATAAAGTTGGTCCGATTCAAATCTGAGCGTACCACTTCACGGCCTCGCATTGTAAGTTGATCTGACAATTACAAAATTTTGCGATCAATTTTTAAACAAAAGTATTCGTTTAGTATTTTGCGTTACGCTATGGGCATAAAGCCCTAGAAGGGTAGTGATAATAAAATAAAATCAAATAAAATCAGGTATTTGTTAAGAGTGCCATTAAGTTATATTAGTTTTAATAACATAAGCAATTTAAGGAGTATTTAGTGACCTCGTATTATAAATCTTATTACATTATGACCTCAGTGACATTTTTGATAAGTACGTAACCAGTTTTTTGATATATTTATTAATCATATTAAATGTCATGTGTAATCAGATATATATGTACATATATCAGACATGTGTCTATGGTTTATGTTTGTATACATGTCAGTACGTATTTACTATGGTTTGTGTTTTAACAGAAGACCCATTTTTCGATAAGAAATGCATACAAAATTGGGTCTTCTTTTAATGCACATGCGTTAATCATATTATGAACTTTGTGATACAATACTTTGCTATGAACGTTGCTATAAATTATGCATTGCTATATGATTTTACAGCAGAAGCAAACTTTGCGTGTTAGATAAGAGTAATTAATTGTGTAAAATTTATTCAAGACCGTGAAAAGCTTACTCACCACTTGGCCAATATTTTACAAATTCGGATAAATTTTACCATCCTTTATTGTAACTGTTTTTCACGAGTAGGAAAGCCACAATTTCCTGTGTGCGATTATTGATGTACATCCTTCTAAATCAAACTTTTCAAAACTCTCAGTTTGATAAAAAATACAAAAGCGAGCAATAGCCAACATGGTACCTGCTACGCGTATTTCTTTTTGTTTCATAATTTTTGCTACTTTCAACCAGGTACATACATATTTCCATGCAAGAATTTATATCAAAATCCTATAGTCGTAACTCTCGTCTTTCTCATTGTAAATATATGTAGTTATCGGACACTAGAGGAGACTCTTCAGAAGATAAAGATGAATACTTTGTAGACAATTCAACTTCACAGAAGGAGGTAATTGTCTCCCTCGCCATGGAAATAAATTCATTAGCGAGCTCAATCCGGCAGGAAAGGAGCCAAAGAGAGTCCACCATCTCAAGAATGGCTGCCTTGGAGCATGCTCAGACGACGTTGCGGGGTGAAGCGAGAAGTGTAATTTTAATTAATGTTGGCCTTACTCATGAACAAATTTAGCAAAGACACAGAATGTGCCAAGTTTTGGTATACCAAAACTTAATTATAATTAAGTCTCATTTCGTATCGCAGTTGAACTATATTTCTGATTCAATGGGGGCATGATTTGTACGCTCCAAAATCGCATGCCAATTTGATTAACATTAGTTGTCGGGTAAAATTCAATTCAAATCTGTCCGTTGATTCTGAACTCAACTTTAATTTATGAAATGTTTTAAGAAATAATGGGGTGATTTATTACGAGTTCGCATGTTCGCATCGCAACATATTTTTTTTTTAATTTGCGAACTAAATACTAGCCTTGGAGACGCGCAAGTTCGAAAACCAATTTTCAATCTAAAATTTTTGTGAACTTGCGAACTTTGATTTTTTGCTAACGTTTCTAACGATGCGAAGTCGTCGTGAATCCCCTCAATGCTTTACGGGTAAAAGTGGCTTGGCTGCGAATGTGTACATACATATGTAAATAATTTTGTAAATATGTGCTGCTGGAAAACTATTTATCAGATTTCTTAAGTGAATATTTTTCAGAACTTTACATTCTTCAGTTTTGCATAGTTATTGACATATTTGAAAACCATGTACAAAAGTTAAGTGCAATGGGAACTAGTGAATGATATGAAAAACGGAAGATCTAAGGTATTTGTGCAGCAAGATATTTGTACAATTTTTTATGGTTGGAAATTTTGCATGGAAAAATGGTGAAGATATATGATGCACTAATTAATATAGTTGTTATATAACACCTGGTTTAAAATTTTCAGGTATAAGATAATTAGCTCATTTGTTATCCAATCACTTTGATTTTGATTTTTCTTATATGAAAACCCCATACGAGCTTTCATTTTTTCATTAAACGAACATGATTGTTTCCACGGAAACGGACGAAAAAATTTTTTTCCTTCATGAAAACTTTTTAATGGATGGTCAAATTGAAAACCTGTATCATAGGCGGCTTAAATCATCCCCGTAATAAGTTTTTTTTTGTTTAAGACATTTCTTTTGAACATTCACCCCTTTGGCTCCAGGGAGTGGTTAAGTTTTAAAGAGGGGGTGGGCAAACGCATACTAAGGTGTAACGTTGCTAGATTTTTACCTCACCTTATAATTAAGAAATTGGCGTGGGATCGTGTATAATATACTGAATTAACAGCCTCATAACAGGCACCTTGCAGAGTTATTCAATATTTAATAGATACAGCATAAAATAAATATGTAGATGCACGTGAATGTGCCACTCAACTAATTTGTTTGTCATTTCCCGCAGATACAAACCGCATTGAAAAACATGTCCCTCGTCACATCTCAAATCCAGGAGAAGTGTGGTTGCCATCCGGTCCCCCGTTTAGCCTTGAATCATCCAACAAGTATGTACCAACACAGACCATGAACAAGGAAAAGTGCGACTCGTATTTTTAACCAGTCAGAAATTTGTAAATCGAAATAACGTACCAAAATATGTACATATTGAAATCATACCGCAATTCCGTGAGGTTAAAGATACGGTTCTAGCAACTTTATCATATTAACACCATACCACGAATTTACATTTAGGAGAAGATAACAAAGTTAATTAATGCACATTTTACATAAAACAAATCTATATGCATTAAATATATTTGCTAAACTGTGGAATTGAATAATCCACTACAGCCTGTTCAACGTACAAACCAAGTTTCGAATTTGTCTCAAACGCTGACCTCGCCAAGACTGAGGTTTTCAACAACACACCCGCATTTACCGGAGACACGTTGTGCAAAGGATTTGTCGGTGATGAAGAACTTTTGGGGAGAGGGCATTTAAACAACTGTTGGGGTATTCACTCTAAGGGCGAGTATCCTTTTCCGTTCGGGCTGGGAACGTATCATCTCCGCCAACCACTCGGAGTCAGGCTGGAATATGTCCCTGCTTCCCAAATCCTTGACGGGGTGAAGGACTGGATTGACGTGGAGAGGTCGCTTTTAGCCGCGAAAGCAGTAAACGTAGCATCAAAAGGAAATTTGAGGAGAGGATATGCCGGCCGCTGTAATGCGGCGGGCTCAACTAAACCAGAGGTTGCAGTTTCATACCCGATCCGTGGATACTTAAACGAGAATGATTATACATTGTTGATGTATTCATATTTTCACAAAATTTACCAGTGTACAGATTTCGACATTCTCGTCTGTGCTGGGACAGTGTGAAGGGTGGGGATTTTGAATTACTCTCGCTTTATCCTCTATACAACCTCCTAGTAAAATGGTTTTCACCTGATCCAGGTAGCTCGCACCCACTTCACTCATGTGACATGAGTCAAGTGGGTGCGACATGAATCATGTCGCAGCTTATGCATAGCCCAAGATTGAAATGTGTATTCGGGACTAGAGTTAAGTAGGTGCGAGCTGCCTGGATCAGGTGAAAACCATTTTACTAGGAGGTTGTATAGAGGATAAAACGAGAGTATATAATTGTGTGACATTCTTACAGACTCTGTACTTCTTAAAGCAATAAATTAACTGTTCATGACGCATTTATTATGATTTTAATTTTTCGGGTTTGCTTTATCTGGTGATAATTCCCTTCGCAATGGGTTAAAAGTTAAACAAGTCAACTAAATATGTTCTTCATTGGCGTAATGTGTAATGTGCACTTTTGATTCTCCTTTTTGATGGTGCACATGAACGGGTATGTGTGCAAATAAATAACTATATTGTGGCCGAGGATTATGTTGAATTTAATTTTTCTAGTGTGTCCGAATACAATTCCGTGTAAGGCACAGCTTTTTAAACGTAATAAAATTTAAATTAAATATTTCACGCATGTTGAAAATTTACCTTCGATCTCCTCTTCTGAAAGGATTATTTCGTAATATTACATGGTTAGGAAAACTAATTTTTTAGCCAATTATAATAATGAAATTAACTTCCCAAACATGACTAACTAACTACGACATGTTTTATGTTCAAAATATTTCCAGTTGTTCCAGGACCTACTTTATTAAATTTCGTTTTTCAAACTGCCTTACTCATCCAATGCTTGACCCTTTCTTGCTACTCAAATTAGGTTTTGGTGGATTTCTGATGATTCCTCCGCCCACGCTCATGGCACCGATGTCACCCTCCAGCGGCGTCTCCTTGGCGATCTCGCCCTCCGTGTTCGCAACGAGGGCAGGAACATTGGGTTCTGCACCGGCGACAGGGGTGGCGTCTTCAGGTGTCCCATCCGATTCGTGGATAACCAAGGCGATGAGGGTGACCATCAAGATTACCGCCAGAACAGGCTTCATTTCTCTAAATAGGAAATATATATATATATCTCTCTCTCTTACGCCACTGACCATACAACTTAAAAATAAATGCAATTTTATTTCGTACTCGATATGTTCCCTAGGAAGAAATCGGTTTTTGTTTAATATTCCTTGTAATTAGTGGAGTGAAGACGTCACCGTTTCGTCGCCCGGTTATATAGCCAAGCTCAAATCAATTCGGGTGACGAGTTTTAATGGGCACCATTATTTCTGGCATTGTTTGAATTTATTATTAAACATGAACAATATGTGCAACTATGTTATTATGTATCATTTGCTTAAAATTTTTGGAACAAGTGGATATAAATTACAAGGACGATTTTTCAGATGGGAGCTCACATGGATAATGTAGAGGAATGTAAGGCCTTCGTGACCCTTATCACTCCTACTAGATCTTCTGCGGGGAAATTATGACATGAATAGATTTATTTGTGATGTGTGGATGCATGTCATAAAATAAGTAATTTGCTTACTGGTTTGCAACACCACATCGTATTTGAGTACACTTAGGTAAACGGTAAAGCCTGGCACACAGAACAAAAAAAAATCGTCGTTAAATTTTTCAATTCATTGTAGTTACATTATTCTTTTTATTTCGCTGTTACATATTTCTGCCCAAAACTCTGACAAGGGATGGTTACAGGTTTATTCCACATCGATCCCACGATCCCGATGCGCATCGATATTTCAGATTTCTCTGAAACTGACGCAATACATGACTACTCCTAAGAACACTGTTTCCAATTGATTATTTGATATAAAATTTCTTGATTGCGTTATCTGCAAATTTGGAAACGTGTGATACAATCTGTCTGGCGTTTGACGCCAAGAGTGCGTGTCATAGGTATGCAACTTGATTTGATAATTTATTTTGCAGGCACTAACAAAGCTATTTATGCAACAAAACCTGCTGTATGTAGATGATTATAAAGCCTGAGAAATAATTAAAACATTAAGCTAATCTATATTAGGAAAGGTTTTGCATAAATTATGTAACGTAATCATATTCACTTTAACTACCAAACGGGAGCACTTAAGTTGGATTAATCGTTGAAATAAATTATAAAAGTGTGTCCATCTTTTTTTTATCTGTAGACATACCTGCAGTAAATGTGTACAATTATGTATATTTTTTGTGACAATTAGGCCGGTTAGTAATAAGTAACAAATAATGCATAATAACATCCACTAATATAATAACATACTTTAGACAATCTACTATAAAATACAATAACTATATGTAAAGCACAGTAATACACAGTAACATACATAAAATACTATTGTATATAATTTTGGGTAAAATTGTGTGATACAATCTTTACACACATTTGACAAACGATTTGTCCCTTAATTGCGCATGCGAATTAATCCGTAATTACGAGTCCTTTGAAAAAGTTCAATTTTACATAACCAAAATAATTACAGCGTGAATATCTACATATTTGTCAATTTTTTGAAGTACGTCATTCCACGTATTTTGGTCAGTTTATTTTTCGCCCAGCAGGATAATTTACAATCGTGGATATTTGTTGCCCTGGTGTTCGTATAATGTTCCTCTCAACGGTCAATTAACATACAAAAGAAAATCAGAATTTGAAACTAAATAGAAAAATGTGTCAAAATGTGGAATATTTAAGGTGTCAAGTCTTCAAACATTTTTAGCCACTAAATGACTTGCCAGGCTCCGCTATCCGCTGTAGATTTTCACTCTGTCGTATTCTCTCTACTATATAAACCACCTTTAGAATGGGACTGGAAAAAAGGACGGGCAGTTTGGGTCCGGTCAATCTGGGATGCACCCATTTGGACCATTTTATTTTTCGGGCTTGAAATTATTGTCATACAGCTGTTCTGTAATTATCTCCTTATTTGCAAATTTGTATCGCCGGAAAGGTCGACAATGTCTACTTTTCAAAGTATCGTTCAAGGAATGCTGGTCATGGTCAGTCTCGGACAGGGCCTCATCTTCTACTTGTTTTGGTTTTACTGGTCAGATTGGAAGCTTGGATTGGGACAGTTGATCGAGCTATTGGAACGACTAAAAAAAAGTGGGTAGTAAATTTATACAGATTGATTTATACAGATCCTATTTACTTGAGAGGTGTTTGAGATACGTATTGTTAAGAACTAGAGACATCACATAGTTGGTCAAAATAATAATTCGGCTTACAATGGTATGGTTTCCGACTGCGTATCGTGTCCAGGGTACCCACTATGTATGTGTTTCAGAATCCATTATGGCCTTAGATGAAGGATCCATTCATATTTCCCGGTAAAACTCATATTTGGCGTCAAACTTTGAAAAGTGCACTTTCTACCAATTTCAAACCTTCATAGCTTTTGAAGTTTCCACCCGATTTAAAAAAATTTTGGATTACAATGATCACAAAAATCGAAATTTTAAGAAATAAACGAAAAATAAAAATTTTAAATTTTTTAGATATTTTTAAGACTTTTTCGACGGACCCCTTGTCCAAGAAAATAACGAAATTTCTTTTTTAAAATTCAAAGAATAAGTTTTGGAAATATGCAAAAATTTAACTCTTTGTGATCATTTTAGTTGAAAAATTTTGAAAAACCGTCCAGGAATTCAAAAGTTGTTTTAAAAATTAGTACATACCAAGATGTCGAATTTGGCGCCACGCCAAATATTAATTTGACACGGAAATATTAACAGATACTTCAAGGATTACCCTAATGGGTACCCGGACACTATGAGTCGGGAACCATTACTTATAAGAAAAACTGTTAAGTTCGTCTGAAGTAAGATGAGACAGCCCTCTGTAAAATTGTTAACATTTACATAGTCAGTGTGTCGTAGTCACTACCTGAATACATATGTATCTACCATATAACTTTGACAATTGGGAAATTAAAAAAATAATAATCGTACGTAGGTTGTAGTTACGCTTTCGACGACAATAATTAAACAATATTACTGGTATCCTACTAATTAATCATTCGGGTATTATTCGGACATATGTAATTCGTGGTGTATGAGTAATTACACACTTTTGTACATATCTCTTATTATATTTATTATCATTTTCAGAATATCCAGTAACATCTCAGGGAAAACCGGGGAAACATTCCTTCTTAATATTTACCTTCATGTCGGTCGACCTTATCACCATTTTTGGCATCATATTAGGCACCCCAGTCGGCATCCTTCTCAAAGTTGACCCAATTCATCACATAATCGCCGCAATTTCTCCAGCCAACTACGCATCCTCGTTAGGCTTACAAATCTGGATCGCGGTATCTATTCGCATCCCAATTTGCACCATTATCGCCCTCGATATCGCCCGGTGCTGGATTTACATCGCGATGATATACGTCGTCGGGTCCAAAATATTCCTGCGATACTTGCACCTTATCGAACAGCCCTACCGTCACGAGAGATTTTTTGCGGTGGCTACACGCAAAAAATTGGGCGACTCAATTACCTCCTACCGCGAAATATTGGTACTCCTTAAGATTATTCACTATGCGTTAATGACGTTGTCGAGTTGTGGGATATCCTTTCTTGCGATGACCGTCGTAGCGGTGAACTATTTGTCGATTAAGATGCACCATGTGATTCCTGGTATCGTCTTGTACTTTGGGTTTCCCGTACTTTTGGTTTGTGCCTTATGGCTGCCATATCATACGCTACCCGAGTGTGGAGAGTTTGCCATGATTTCGACGGAACTCTTGAGAAAATGGAGGTTGAGAGGGGGAGGGATTGGGTATGGCGGAAAGGGGAAAAGTATAGCGATGAGGTTGAGAAGTCTGCTGGTAAATTATTTTAAATTTGGAATGGGTCAGTTTGTCATGCTGAATATTACAAGGGGAACAAAGGGAAGGTATCACAAGGTCATTATTGACTACACAATTAGTGCATTGTTGTTCAAGTTAAAGGTGTAGACATATGTGTGTATTTACATTTTTTTCAGTAAATTCCAGCATGAATTGTACTCGTGCCATGTCTCCTTGACCATCTACGTAGATACACACATAATTATGTGCATGATTTGGCATAATTAAAAATTAAGCATTTTTGTATCTACATGTACGAGCAAAATATGCATGCATTTACTCGGATGGTTTTACCAATTACTTCCAAGCATCTGAACCCCTCGAAAAGTAACCTGTCGAAGTATCCCCCATTTCACGCATCTGGTCGGACATTTACTATGCTATTGCATCGTCTCTAAATACATATAATGCATACCAAACCATTTGAATGGGCACAAGCACACTTAAAAATGTCGGAAAACTAGTGTTGATATGTGATTCTAATCATGATAGCAATTTCATTACTGTTCAGTATCTGCTGAAATCTGAACAACTGATATTTTTATACCAGATGTAAAAAATCTTAACTGTATGTATGTAGATATTACCTTAATTGCTACAAGGAATTCCACTTTGCTACCAAATCAATACCAGAGCGGTGGAGCCATATGCATATTAGTACACGTCAATACCCAGTTTTTAAGGTTTTTAAGGCACTTGGGAACAGTAATTTATTTCATAGAAATTTTAATCACGGGTTTTTCACTTTCACATTATTAAAAATCTGGTAGAGTCACGGTCCGTGACGTACCGTGGTAGCAATTGCATGGTGTTGATTTTGCTACCACTTGGTAAGACATCCGAAAATTTGGTAACAGGATACCACCGTAGGGTGATACTCACTGCCAATACTGGTAGAGTCGTGTATAGACACCGGCCGGTCGTAATTCTTTACCAAATTATTAACAGTGTGTGATAAATGCATGAGTTTAAATTTAAGTTCGTTTTTGGACGTTAAAACATCACATCACATAATTCGAACACGTCGTCCGATATTTTAACATAATTCATCTCATGCGTTATTCATGATCTGCAGGACGATGATAAAGTGAAATTGGACTCGTTCACTATCTTTCTGTCGATGGTCGATTACTTGTTGAATTGAGTGTGCCACAAGCATGAAGGATCGTGCATAAGCAATGTCATGGATTTATTTAGGCGCATATGTTACGAAATGTAAGATGTGGCATATTTGTCACCGGGATGTAAATTAGTCGAATATTAATGATATCTTTTGTGCACTGTCTATATGCAGATTGTTCTTTCATCGACAATTTAACCAAGCAAAAATATTCTTGAGTAGAGTGCAACTTATTTAGTTGCCATGCGTGCAGTTAAGTATGCATCGGCAACGGTCATCTGTGTAATTGTTAAAAAATTGTATTGCTTGTTGAGGAATAAAAGTTATAAAAATATGTGTAAACCAGCCAAAGTACAAGTATTTACATACTGTCGGAAATACGTATTTACAGTCAAAAATACTTAAAACATCATCTAAAGACAAAATTAGATTGGATAGACAAAATTGGATTTAGACTGATTTGGTGAATTGCGAGTCTATGTATGAGTGTATGTATTTACGTACATACGTCGTGATAAGATTCCGATGTATTTGTAGGGGGTAGAGACGATTTGCACTATCGAAAACTTGAATTGGAAGCTGTCTAAATTTATACAATTATCGAGGACCAACAGGATTATTTGCTTGGTGGTGATACAAAATGAAACCCTCCAGGCAGTAGTAATCGCTGAAACAAGGAAATTTAGTAGATGGTTTCTCACCACCTTCACCACATTCAACTCCTTCAAGTAAAAATTTAAGTTAGGTTTTTTTTACAAAATCAACTTCATCCCAATGCTACCTATAATTTCTAAGGCGGGATTGAGCTGACGAATGACGGCTCATATGTATCTAATAGCGGCAAGGTTTTAAGTTGCGTGGGACAAATTTTGCTTACACATAGTCGTAGTAGAAGGTCACAAAGCGTTCATGCGAATGTACTGCATGGCAGAAAATACATACACGTGATCAGGCCAAAGAACGGAAAATTATTTCGAAGACGAACAACATTGATAATATATACCGATATGTTGTACTCCAGTAGGTGCATTCTACCTGACCAAATGCTTTAAATATTACCGGTTTGAAAACGAGACCTACGTTCTTAAATTCCTTTGTTGAGCTAGGTGCAATGTTCCATCTTTATCTTACAATCACATCTTCGTACTCGCGCATTTATAGTCTGTTTTTGCCGGACTAGCCTAATAAATATTTTGCGTGGGCTAAAATTTTTTACTGTGCATTAAATTATATTACATTTTGATTACACTTACTCGGGTTTAGACAAATTTTCACTCGCCTCTCTTTGGGTTTTATTTATTTTCGTTATTATTTACATCATTCATTATCATTCTCATATATCTACCATTTTATTGTCTTGGAGTCTTCATTATTAATGCGCACTGTATAGGAATTTGCGACAAAAAAATTTAACTCTTTTTGGTTGCCTATATGTTAGCATTCTTACTCATATTAATTTAATTGTCGAGTGACGTCCCTGCATTGCATTGCTGCTTTGGTAAAGCATGTATGTACATATGTGACATCGTGATGAATTAAGGAACGCAGATCGACAAGATCGTGAAATATGTGCAGTGCTTCCCTGCGCTTGTTACAATCCATGCTATATTATGGTTAATATATGTACATAAATACTTAATATCCCAAAACTACCCGAAATTCATGTAAATACGCAACTACCTTACTTTGCTATTTTTTGTGCAACAAATGTAGTTACAAAATCCTTCCTCTATATCAATTTATCATAAAGTTGGTAAATTTTAAGACTTAAGCTGCCCAAAAACCGATTAATTGACTTAATTTATATTTTACCATTACTACCGATGATTTTTATTATTATCAATTATAATGTAAGCAATCGTTTGATCTAGACATAAAATAAATACATAGATTTAACATAATGTTGGTGTTCACTGTCGAATTTCTTATTTTCATTTGCGTATGTGACATACTGGTACCAAAGGTACATCCATATGTCTGCGTAGTATGTACATTAAGGAATTTAAGCATGTTTTGCGTCCATGGCATTGAATATAGAAGAGATACATGTGTATATATGTGGATATACCTATTAATCGTTCAAGATGATTGAATTGGTAGAAGCTGGCATACCGAAAATACGTGAAATTTTCACCACTGCGTATGGGAAATTTTTGAAACGTCATGTCGAGCAGTTTATCGTGTCAGAAAATGAGTTTAATCCGTGTCGAATTAGTAACGTACACCAGTCCGACTTATTGCATGATTGAGACGATGCGTTGAGTGAGGGTATCTAAAAACTATGATTAAATATGAATAAACCATGAATTAATATTTGATGTATATTTATTATCTACATATCTATATCTACATATATATGTAATAAAAGCGATTAAAGGGTAAATAAAAGGCTCCTATGTATAGATTATGATGTATAGATGTATAGACGTAGAGTACATAGATGTATAGATTATTTAGATAATTGTGTTGATAAATATATTTATAATGGGAAAATTGTATGCAAAATCAATGACACAAATATGAACATACATATATTTTTCATTTGTTGTCTACAAAATTATTATTATAAATAACTACGGATTCGACGAGGAAAATAATCTACATAGTCTGCCGGAATTTGTCCACATTTTAGGGAATATTTATTAACAGCTGCATGTTTTTAATCTTTAAACAAATATGTTGTCAAATTTGAAAACTACAAATGACCACGACTATGTTTACCTTGGTTAATCTAAAATACTCGTATTTATTTACTATAACTGTTAATAAGCTAATTTGCTAAATTATTTATTTATGCAAGCACAAATGTGTATGCCCGCAGATATTTAAATATGTACATTTACATATGCATGCATATGTACATACATGTATGGGTCAAAGTTGAAATAAATACTAAATTCTCTCCTAATTTTAATTTTCGTACTAATTTTACTGTTTTTGCAACAGGGAGAAAGTAATTAATAAATATCTACTCATTCCACAGGAAGTGTTGTTTTTCTCCCTCGATCATAAGATAATATTTATGACTAATTTGCAAATCAAAGTATACAAAAATCTCGTCATGACTCCACATTCCAGCCTAACAACCACCAAATCTCATGGGTATATGACTCATTCCATAACCCAGGACCGTGCCTAAAGCGCGTCTTGTATTTTACTTGAACATTACACTTCTCGTGTTAATTACAAAATTAGACATTAGAAAATATCAAGAATTTGTCGCTGTACGGGTAGAAAATTTTCGACAAATCAGTCAAATTCTTTATGTGTCACATTCTTTACGTTCCTCCACGAAGGATTCGCGAATTACGTAACCTCGTCATGACGAACAAGATCATTCGCGAGTTTAGCTACATGCATATGTACATATGTAACTGCTGCTTGTTACATGAATTGCAACAAGCCGACCCTGCCCGACACGACTTTGTCCCACTTCACCAGTAGTTATCAATTATATTTAAGCGATGGATCCATGTATGTATATGTGCATAAGTTAATTTAACGAAGAATAAATACATATGTATCCAAATCGCATCCCGTCAGTATTGAATATGCACTCTCCTCATCTGACTTCGGCTCATAGAAAATTGCGATTGTTTTACATTCATAAAGTTAATTCATAAAGTTAATAATCAAATAATGGACAAACATTTTTTTTACTAATTCGATTACCGTATGCGTTAATTTATACAGAGACAAACTTAATTAATCAAGTTTTATTACATTTTCGGGTCGGTTTTAAAAAGTGTTAAATTAATTCAAGTAAACTTTTCTCCATAATTTGAACGGAATTATGGCAAGCTGTTCACCTATTGGGGAGAAATCGGCGGAAAAACGGGGACATGAAAAATTAAATGACAGCATCACGGACAAATTTTTTTATGAAATATGCAAACAAGAAGGTATCAGCTCACGTCAATTTTTCCAAACTGAAACGGATTCTTCGGTTCAGAAGAAGACGGGGAGTGAGCACATCATTTATTACAAGCCTTTCCTCAATTACGACTTGGTCATAAGGAATGTAAGTCTGATATAATTGAAATGATGTATACCATATTTTTAGGATAAATTTTAGTGTACCAGGGCGATTCGGTGGTATTTTAGACTCACCATGAAGGACCAATTTTCCACAATATTTTAAAATTTATTTTTCAATGTAGTTTCCATCCCGCAAAGCACAAGCCTCCCATTTTTAGGAATTTAGACACAACATACCCTCAGAAAAAAAAAGATTCGTCAAGACCTCTAAAATACTAGAAAATATACGATTTTATTTCATTATCCGATGAAAATCTTTTTTTCCTTGAAGTCGTCAGGCTTCGAAGTAAATTATAATCGATAAGGGTTCAGTGTGGACTGTGCGGTAGGTGGCTTAACAGTGGGAAGGGATTGTCATCTTCAACAGTCCTCGCAAAAAGTGACCATTTTCTTTGATTTTCGTCGTTGAAAAAATTCACAAATTCTTTCTTTGACTATGCATATCTCTACACTGGAAGCACATAGGCACTTCAAATTTGTTGCGTGAAGTAGATAATTTATCTTAATATTTTATGAAATTAAGTTTTGTATGACAATAATTAAGAAAACTCGGAAATAAAATTTAATTAATTACTCTCGTAATTTCCAAATTTTTGTGTCCCGTCCACGTTCCTGATCCCCAGATTTTCCCTACGTAAACTGGTACCTGAGATATTGGTCATTATGCAATGCCAGATAGTTGTGATCGGTTATCAAAATGTTATGAGAATCATATATTCTCCCGTAGTATTACAATTTAAACTTGCATGTTAGATAAATTTTGTTGCTCAGCTTGTGAAAGCAAATTTCAGACGCCCCTGGCGAACACTGCTAACTTTGCGAGGTTATAATTAGACAACAACAATTACATTTTTTCCAAATGCGCATGTCCTCGGTTACTTGAAACAGGTTGGATCCTAATTTTCGCATTTTTGGCTTTTAAGTTTTTTGAGGTTTTATACAGAAGAAACAGGTTTTTTGCATTTTGGCGAGCCGTGACGCGGGGAAATTTTTCGTCCACTTTAAAAAAGATAAATCCAAACTGGTATGTTGTGTTTCGAACAAAATATTTTGCCATAAAATTAAAGCCGGAGATCATTGGTCTGCGCCACCGATTGACCTTCCAGCATTAAAAACTCGATGACTGCGCGATATTTGATTTGGAAATCTGACATTTTTTCTGTCGAGCTCAATTTCGGGGAATTTTGGTTAATTTACTGTTTCACCTAGGAAGTTAAAAAAATCACACCTGACTAAATGGTTCCAAATTGTATCACAATGCAAAAATTTTTGCCCCATTACCATCCCTGCATGGTGAGTCTAAAATACCAGCGAATCGCCCTCGTATGTACGGAAATATGTATTTCGTGTTTCTTATTTTCTGTGGGATGATCGGAAATCATATCTGTTATGATATTTAGGAATCTGGATATTAATTTGAAAAATAAATAGGTTTCAAAATTTTGTGAAATTATCAGAAATTTGCGAAACAAAGAATACGCTATGTAAATATGTGAAGGAAAAAGGTAGATATTTTACCGGATATTTTTCCATTTTATCCATTTATTTCATTTTTGCATTTACGTACATATTTACATACACTTTATTATATACGTAGTTAACGGTTTTACAAATGACAAACTGCTAAATTCTTAAGAAATATATTCGTCTTCTGAAAAAATATATTTTTGCGAAAGCTACACGTCATTAAGAGTTACAATTATCAAAGTGAAGAAAAACACTAGGGGTGACTACGAGGGAAATTAGTTTTGCAAAATTAATACAAGAATAATTTGTGCATGTATTTATTTCCCAGATTCCGATGCACGGGTGCAATGGGGTTTTCGAAATTCGGATAAAACCTGTCGACTGGGCGCGAGCATTTAATCAGTTGGATTTTCTCCCCACGATAAAATTTCTTTATGTTGCCCTTCTTACGGATCAATGTCGACGTGTGATTGACGCTGATTTAACGGCGAGGCGGAACATGCTGGAAATCTTAAGGAGTAATTTAATAATTTATATATGCATCATTAACCTCTTAAATACCACATTAAATTTCACGAAACGCCGTTGGCGACCAATTTCGAGCTTGCCTTTGTTCCGACAACTAAAAACTCCAAAATTCCATTTTCTAACATTGACTTGAAGCAGAAAGAGTTGAAGGTTTAGACTGGAAAAATTCACTGAAGCAGCACAATTCTAATGAACTTTCCCGGTTTACAGACAAGTTTTTCAATTCCATTTTCCACTACCATTCACGATTTTGGCACATATTTATAAATAGTCAATAGGAAATTTTTAAAATAGGTGTAATTTGTCGCCAAGGTTTTAACGAGGGGCCATTCATTAAGTATACGTTAAATTCTAAGATATATTTATCAGTTGCACTTGGATATTTGATCAATCTAAATATGAAATGCGCATTAAATGTTTAGGAGCTGCGGCATGGATGATGTCAAAAATTTGATCAAAACACCCACATCGATCCGTGGTCTTTTCCTCTCGAATTTTCCGAACTCATTGCCACTATCCCGCCGCCGTCCGTGCAAAGCGGCGCCAAGGAAATAGACGATATCTTGAAAAAATTGAACCCGGTTGAGCACCTTCGACACGTCGTCGAGCAAGAAAGACGTCAAGAATCGACAGACTTTTCCGTCAACCTTAATTATTGGGATTTTGAATTTTCTGAACTCGCCCGATTGGAAGAAACCGAAAAAGAGGATACAAAGTTTGAAGAATTGTACAAAAAGTGTGTCGACTACGTTGGACGAAGTCCTGATGTTAAGTTGAATACAGCTCAAATAGCGGCGTCCTTGACGAAAAGTACTATTCAAAGTAATACGGATCAATTTGTGGTGAGGTTTAGAATTAAAAAAAAATCTTATCCGTTATGTTTGCTACACAGATTTTATTCATGGCCAAATTTTGGAATTATTCGTAATGAAATATTTAATTATCCAATTTATCTACTTTGACCACAGAATTTAAAAAATGATTGAGTTTTTTTACACTCTGTCACCTTCAAACTTAGGCAGGATAGCAATATATTTGCGTAATACTGTTGCTCCGCCGCATTTTTAATTCCTGGCAAGCAGTGTTCCTTACATTATAAGTTTTTATTTAGATTAATTTTTTATTATGAAAAAATTTATCATCGCAAAATCTGGCCCTGAAATGAGACCACTTTGCAATACAATTTGCTCCAAACTGTTAAAATTCTGTTACCTCGCTTAATTTTAAATTCGCTGTTGAAACTGTGGTAAGAAATTTAATCGAATTATTTATTCTGATGTTAGGACGCCGTACAATTTAGCGACTTGAGGTGGCGAAAGGCATTCAAGCAGGGGAAGCATTCCATCGAAAATGTAGCCGCTAGACTGTCCAGTACAATATTAAGATTGGATTTCGACAAAAAACTTGACCGCTTTCAAGTCCGTGGACGACATTGACCCGCCAAAACTTACCGCGATTTATCGTAAGAAGGATTCATACATATTCGTACTTATCTGACGGATAACATCAAACCATAGTTGAATTATGTAGTATTATGAACTAGGGACGGCAATTGTTTATTTCTATGTAGCTTTTTTGTTTATTAACTGATAGCGATTGATTTTTCGATGTATTACACATAGAAAAAATTATGTGAGACATTTTTCATCGGGTAATTTAGGAATCTGGGTGTCAAAATCAAAATTTACCTACTTAAATTTTTTAAATGTTCTATATGTACACATTTTGGATAAATTTAGTAGAAAAAATTCCCGAAACCAAAACAGGTTGTCTTGTCCAGGAAATTAAAAAAAAATATATTTCTAATAGAAAAAACTATTACAAAAAAATTCAACTCGATAAACTTCCAACTTGAAACGCCTTATTCCTAAATATTCCGATATTTCGATTCCTAAATTACGTGAAGAAAAATGTCTTGTTTGATTTTTTCCTATTTTTTCTACCATATACCGTAAAACTTCCAATGGAGGCGGAAAAAACATGTTTGCTGCGCACGAATTATTACGACACCAATTAAGCCAGGGTCCTTTATTATGGCCAGATGTACGAATGCAAGATTCGCCTTCTTATTTTTCCATGCAGCCATTATTGTAGACCCGGTCGTAATTTGTGTCGTGGTAAATCAAAAAATATTTTTGATCCGGCCTCCATTAGAGATTTTACGGTTTGTAAATAAAAAAAAACCCTATCGCTACCAAACAAAAGAAATGAGCAACTACTAAATACATATTTAAAAGTAAAGGTGAATAACTTTTACCTTTAACTTTTAACTTTAAACTTGTGCTTGTTCATCAGGTGGGTCTAAATTCCTTTACGAGCGACGATCCCTCCGTGACGGGGACAAAGAAGAATTTGATTCCAGAATCGTATCCCACAACGTGTTTCCCACGCGGGACGAGTGCATCAGGATAAACAATGAGGTGCTCATTTACGGCACTGCAAACGTGCTCAAGCGGGTTGAACTTATAGATCAACAAGCTACCGGGAGTGTGGATATTGCGGGAGGGGGAAATTCGAATCAAATTCCCCCCGACTTAAACCTGAACTTGGAAACAATCTTGTCTGATTTGGTATTGCCGCCATTGGGACAAGGTTCTTCCGACGTGGGAACATTTGCAAACGCTACAACTGCAGCAAGTTCGCAAGATGTCGCTGAAATGGCGACCACTTCAAGCAACCATATTCAAATGGATATAGGGGAACAACCGTTTGACCAGGGGCAAGGAACTACAAATACGATTAAGATTTTGGGCTTTATACCAAATACGGGAATAAACGCATCGGACGAGCATGTGTTTAGTACAAACGCTTCGCAGATTATTCATTTCGGAAACTTTAACAATTTTTCCGTCGAAGATAAACCGTATGACCGGGTGTATCTTGAAGCTTTGAAATTGAACAAGACGCTGAGAGGAATTGAGCCCAAATTGTTGCTGACTGGATGCACCGAGACCATCATGGTTTTTCTGGTACGTAACGGCAGAGATCGGAAAGTTTCGAAAAATCCTGGAAATTTATATGTACATATTCAAAATTTACCAAAAACTGTTTTCATAAAAAATTATGTACGAAAGCCCGCAAAAATAGGGCTTTCTGACCATTTTTTGGCGATAACTTTCGAATTTTCTTTGTAAACCAAATTTATTCTGTCCTAAATCGTCCAAGTATGTTTCTAAGTAAATTTCTGTATTTTCGACGATGTTTAAGAAATATAAACTTTCATATATTATAAAAATACAACAAATTAAGTAATACATAAATTCACGCCTATTTGACTTTTTTAGACGGTTGGGATTGAGAAAAAGCAGTCGGATGGGACACTTGTGGTCGAGACGAGGTCACACGCTTACTCGAAGACGACCTGGGTCAAGGCGGATGAAATCTACCGGGCCGCGGGGCCGATTTCCCTGGGAACAAACTTCCTACTGAAGCAACTGTTTAAAAAGGATGAACTCAAAAACTTCACCCCGTCGGGAAGACTACCCAAGAAGAAAAGTGGGGATCAACAGGTACCTGTATAAATTTGTGGTAGCATTGGTTCAATTTAAATTTTTAATTTTATCAACAAATGCATCTTGAGAGGGAACAAGTTGAAATTTGGGCGCGGAAAGGCTTAAATAATGGCGGCGTTTAATTAAAACAGAGATTAGTTGTTAATTCATCAATATGAAGTTGCGATTTGTGCTAATTTAGGATGCTACGGGATCCGAGGCTACCGGAACCGAACTACGGGAAAGCGGACTACTGGACCAGGGTCGACAGGAACAACTATTTGGTTAGTGAGGGTGATATTCCGGGGAGTCAGGGGTACGCAGAACCCCGGGTTTTGGTACTAAATTCGTACAGCATATGAGGTTTTACTAAGGTTTCCGTCGGTTTAGGAGTTTTACTCGGGTTCTACTTTATCTTACTCAATATTTGTGACATATCATGCCACCCTGTATTTGCAAAGATTAAAGAAATTCCGCCGAACTTAATTCTGGTTGAACAAATATCACAAAGTTGTTTTTTTCGAAGGAATTTTATGTAAAACCTCAAAAATTGTAAAACCCGGGGTCGGAATATGTTTGTGCCGTCCTGCAAGGCAAATATCTGCCCAAGTTATACATTGTTTAATAATTAAGTTAAATATATTTTTTCCCACTGCAGATACAATTCGCTACTTGATCTGGGAAATTGGCCTGTTACAGGCCGAGATGTACAATCTTGTCGAGAAAACATTGAAAACTGACATTTTCAACGTGGGGAGCAAAGTAGTTCGAGAAAGTTGAAGAGCGATGAGGCCTACTACAACAATTTCAATGATTGGGAATAATTTTTACCTACAAGGGACACTTAACTTATGCGTAATCGATATTTGATCCAAATTAGTGCCATTCGACAGATAATTTTGTGAAACTAAAACTTTTAAATGGAACTTGTGGTGCAAATTTAGGTTGAAGCAAAATATTTCGCAAAATATGCGTAAAAACAAGGCGGTTTTGCAACGTAATATTCGACTCTCATTTCAATCGTGGATTTATTCCGATGGATCCATTTATTTCAAGATTTTACATTATTTTTTCTAAATTAAAATGTCTAGCTTTTTTGATTCTTCCTCGAAATTTTCAAAAAAAGCCACCATTTCGCAAATTTAGGAGATAATCGAACATTTGTCGAAATTTTATTTTAAATTATGAAATTTTTAAAAATTATAATTTGTTTGTTGAAATCATGAAATATTTTCGAAATTATGAAATTTTGTTGATTTGCGATTATTTTGAAATTTAATTAATTGTGCAAAATCTTTCAAGCAAATAATTGAAAAGTTGGTTGCAAATCCCGAAACATGTATAGTATGTGCGTGTTGCAAAATTTCTCACTTTAACCTCAATTTGCACCACTCGCTCTATAACAAGTTTATAGTTTTATGAAATTCTTTGTCTAAAGAATTTTTTCGATTTTTTTGTAACAAACTTATAAAAATTACAAATAATAAAAAAATCAGTTAAAAAAAACATAATTTCCAAAAATTGCATATTTAAAAAAATCATAATTAAAAGCGTTATATTTATTTCCAAAAATTATGAACGTGAACGCACCTGTATTTAATTTTCGCAAACTTTTATTATTTGAGTTTTCTGCATTTCCCTTGATTTTTAAATATCGTTGCTAAAATTAAAATTAAAATTACGAGTTTTGGAGATATAAGAGGAACTTGCGTAGAAAACTTGCGACGATAAATGAAGCCTTTTTTAATTCGCAAGCTTCGCAAGTGCATTTTCTATGGTAAATTTTTTGAAAACTTGCGAAGCTTCGCATGCTTCGCAACTTACATATGTTGCTATGCGACGCATGCCACATTTGCGACGTTCACGCGAATCCCCACATTATGTTGTGAGTATTTAAAGAATGCAGTTTAAAGAATGAAAATTGGGTGATCTTTTAATGTACATACGCATACACATATGCACATAATTTTCTTAATAAATTAATTGTTAATTTTTCGGCAATCCTTAGTCATTAATTAATTAACCTTTTAAATTTTGGTTAATGAACCAATCATTAATTATTAATTTATCCATTAATCTAACAGCCTTGAAATCAGTGTTCTGTAGCTGTAAACAGCGTAAAATAAAATTAAAGCTTGCAAAATAAACCAAGTTAATCAAATTATCCTTAAAATACCGCTGAGTAATGGACCACTAAAATAAAATTGTATGAAAAAGTGTTTCCACCAAGTAGTTGTCACAATTTCGGTACATATTCCTTTGGAAATCTCGATTTCCCCAAACTTTTAGTTACTCTAGAATTTTTTCGGCTAGTCACCTCATTTGCATATTTTGACGAATTCGATAGAGATATAGAGTTTCCTTAACATTGAAACCCCGTATCGCCGAAATGGGCATCGTGAGATTTATCCAAATGAGGGTACCCGCAACAATAATTATGGAGTATTTATGTATGTACATATGTTCATATTGAGGTGGCCCGCAATAATAATTTTAGAGAAAGTTCTTCGCGACGTACTCTATAATTATTGTTGCTAGTCACCTCATTTGCATATTTTGACGCATTCACGAGAGATATAGAGTTTCCTTAACATTAATATCCCGTATCGCCGAAACGGGCATCGTGAGATTTATGCAAATGAGGTGACTAGCAACAATAAGTATAGAATATGTACAACTTTGCAAAAAGTATGAAAACAGAGGTGGCCTGTGTGATGATGATGAAACAGGTACGCATATAAAGAATGCGATCGATAAGACCAACAACAAATATTGTATTATTCTATATTTTAGGTACCATTGTATTTTCGCCGGATAGTTTAATTCCTACAAGCAAATCTTCCACATACATGCTGCACTGTCCTTAAAGTACAACCCGGAAACCAACCGCGGCAAGCATCATCATCTACTTTCTTTCCACGAAATAATAATAATAACAAAACAAATAATGTTGCCAGAAATAATTCATAAATATTTAACTGTTTCATTACATAAATAAAATAATGTAGCATTTTGGGAAACCAAGTTGAAACAGGTTATCAATTTAAATCACTTTCTCGTTAATTTACGTTAAATAAACGCCAAAATTTTTAATCCAATGTTATTGACATTTGTGTCTCATTTTCGCAAATAAATAAGTACTTTATCTTCTAATCGGCATAATTAGCAACGTAAATACATAACCTACCCGTAAGTCTGAAAGTAATTTCCTACTTTTTTGATTATTTTTATCGTTGTTAATTTTTTTGTGGCTTATTCGATTTGTAAATATTTTACAGCAATGGAAAACTTTGGAAAGAATATTTATCATCAAGTGATTGCTCAGATTTTGTCGATATTTTTTGTATGACGATACTAAGCTCAAATTGAATTTTGAATTTAAATGCAAAAATGCTTTCATCGGAATTGAAAATTACAACTTTTAGGGAGTTTTCTATTTAAAAGAGTAAGAGCACCTTTATTGTAATGGCGTACATACATACATATATAAGTAATATAATATATAATTTATAACTTTAAAATTTTTTGATATAATCGTAAATCTTAAATCGTATGATTTTATTTTATTTTATTATACTACATACTTATCTCATTTTGAAAAAAATTTGTGATTTCGCAGCCTGATGAAGCTGTATTTAACGGCGAAACCGGTCGCAGCTAAGTGAATAAATTCAGATTAATCTATCTATTGGTTGGAATAGTTTTTCTTCGCACCTAATAGAAAAGAGGGTAGAAAATTTTCGAATTTTGTTCACCATACATAACTTAATTTGTAATTTTCAATTGGACAATTGGAGAGAAAAAATACCACTGATTTCAAAAATTTTAGTCTTGAATTTTGCATAAAAGAAAGGTATTTTTGAACTCACCACTGTTGAGTCACCAGTCTAAATTTAGCTAATTTTCACGCAGGTTGGTCTGATTTCTAAATTATGACTGTCAGGATGGGCCACCGATATTTTTGTTATATTTTCTCTTGGACTAATTGAAATATTTTACGACACAGGAACACAGCTAGACATGCGGAATTACGATCACAGGCTATGCGTCATACCGACCTGTAGACCAAGTGACAGACTACATCATCCAAATTTATCATTCCACCGGTATTTGAATACTTGATTCATCCTTGTTTATTGTGCAGTAAGAAATTGTGTCTTTTTTTACGTCCAGAATCCCAAATAATAACAATTACTGGCGACAAAAATGGATCAATCTCGTGCGAGAGTTAAAGAACGATTGTCATTGGGAGCCCTCAAAGCAGTCATTGGTTTGCAGTAGACATTTTCCCAGCCACTTGGTCCAACAGGCGGGAAATAATAAAAACAAAAGAGTCCTGATCGGTAATCCTGTCCCATCTTTACTCCTGTGCGAACAGAGATATGTGATTGTGGGAGTTTCTCAGCGTAAGCGTGTCACATTTTATGGCTTCGAATTTATTAAAAAAATGTCGGGACATACATCTACATTATTTCTGTTTATGGATATACATATGTGTAATTCAGTATTATAATTATTTCGACATCTCTTGCTAGTTGGTACCTACTTGTTTGGACCTTCCATAGCTCGCAAAATATTGGTCCATGGTCCATCATTCCGTGGTCCATGGACCAACCAAAATGGTCTAGTGGACCGTGGTCGATTTCCAGCTATGGTTCCTTCGACTAGTTATATGCGATGGCAAGGTCAAATTCAAGCTCATATTTTCCTTCCAGTGACAGAACCACCCTCAGGACCCCAATCCGTACATCCTGGTACATCTTGCTTCCTCTGCTCTACATTGATCACCAACGTTCCCCACAACGACCACATTACCAGGCAAATCCACCTCTTCAAGGAGCTCTTAAATGAAGAGGGCTTTAAACAAGGTCTCGTCAACGATGCCTCCTCCTCGCTCATGTATCCCGCCGATGGCAGAAAATCTTGCACCGATTGTCTCACCATGGTCGGCAAAGTGTGGGAATTGGACCGTGAAATATTAACGTTAAGAGAACGGATCAGAACGATCGTGCAAACAAGTCTCCGCGACAATGGTAAAAATAGTTAATTTCAAATATTCATTCCGTAAGTATTCAATCTTTAAAGATTAAGGCAAGTTGTGGCGATGTTTGTAACTTTTTGAACGGTCAGTGAGGAGAAGAGTCGGGATTTCCCTTGGGGTTAGATATCCTAGCCCAATTATAGTTCACCAGAAGTAATGGACCATCGGCCAATGCTAAAAATGAGGCTAAGTGGGGGCAATTTTGCCCTAACTAATATCATGAAACGTTTTTCGTTTCATGCTGTGCGAGGACTCAATCCACGCATGGGTTGAATTTTGGATACTCGTAGGAAAAAAAGCTAAATTTTGCATTGGTGCCTCGTAACTTAATAGGAATTCGGATGGCCCATTAATTCCGGATGAACGATAAATGGCAGGATTGGGATTTCCCTGCCCACCTAAATGGCATAGCTGGGATTTTTCTACACTGGATTAATGGAAGGGCAGGGATATCCAGGCGGGGGTTATAGGGGAATTTTCGTTCTTCTATAATTTCGTCATGAATTGACAATTTATAAAAAAAAGCACGGTCTCAAAATATCTAAAAACTAACCCTAAAAATTGTGTTTTTATTTATTTAAGCCGAACAATTTACCAATCGGAGGAGAGCTGAGATTGAAAAAAGGTGCCAACTGGCGAAACAAATTCGTGAAAATATCTCACCAGAAGTTCACGAAATTGATGAAAGCGCTTCACCAAAAATAGAACAAATCCATGAAAACGTTTCAACAAGATGCAACGGGGTTAATGAAACATGTAACGAGTCGTTGTACAACTGGGTGATTAGCGTCTCCACTCCAGGTGTGAAGTACAGGTTGCTTTTACTTTATTCGAGGAAGGGAAACCCCTGTAATTTTTTATCCTTTTCTGGGTATTCACTGCAAGTTTGCATCGCAACATATTTTTTAATTTTGCGAACTAAATACTGCAGATATACCAAACCAATTCTCAAGCCAAAATTTTCGCGAACTTGCTAGCTTTGTTTTTTTTTGCTAACGATGCGAAGTCGTCGTGAATCCCGTAAGTGTTTTAATATCCGTCCAGTCGTTTAGCAGTTAGCCAATTTTAGCTAATTAGCTTGCATTGAGAACACCGAAGCTATTCGGATGCTTTCCCCTGTGGATATTTTTTCCTGCTTTACATATGCAGTACAAAAATTTCGGGCATAGGAACAATGTATTACTAAAGTTCTTTAAATATATTTGTGTCTTAATTACTTCAGATCCTACTGCTTCGACTAGAAAGCCTGACCGCACTAACCGCCCCGAGTCAGACCCAGAATACAACCCCTCCGATTCAAACTCTTCTTCAAATTCATATCAGTCTTCAGCAGGAGAAAATCCCACTTCCTCTACTACCAATCACAGTACGGCGAGGAATCTAAAAAATGTCAAAAGGACAAATCCAATCCAACCAAGCGTTCCACCAAAACGGAAAAAAATTGAAAATAATCCAACCGACGACGCTGTCTTTAGCTGGTCCCTTGTTTCCACGCCGAATCAATGTAAGTAATTTATTTCGTAAGGATTCATTCGTATAGAATTTAGGCTGACTAAGATTATCTAAGCAATAATGGATAATGTTTTTTTAGATCCTGGCGCTACCTCTTGCACGAGAAAGAAACCAGGCCCTATCGACCCCGCGGAAATCCCGGAGTCAAATCCACCCTCGTGCATAAACGTGGATGAAAACCCGGTCGATAACGACGACGGATCATCCACCGTATCTGCCCCCTTTCTAGAGTATATCGACGACGATGACGAAATTTACCAATCTGGAATGAAACCGTGCATTGTACTGGACGATCCTGACGAACCTGAGAACATACCTGTCAAAATGGAGGAGGACGAATGCTTATTCGAATTTGAAGATGCAGAGGAAATGCCTACAGCGTCGGGGTCACATTTGAACGAACCTGGCATTAAGTCCACAAAACCTGGCAGGTTGTTTACAGATATAAAACTATTTAAATTCAAATACATATTTACATTTTTTGGGAAATCGTCATGTTTAAATTTGAACTATGAAAAATCGGGCGTGATTTCTAAAACTTAGCAATCTTTTAATTCGACAGCCAAAACTACGTATTTTACGATGGGAATCGGCCGTTTGGATGTTCCCGATGTACGGCCCGCTTTGCCAGCAAAATCTGGGTTATGCGGCACATGAATTCGTGCAAAGAAAATATAACGCCGCCATGAAAGGAAATAATTATTAGGATTTTTTGTGAAAAACTCGTTCAGAAGTGTTAATGGTTTCAAAATTTGTTCTTCTTAAATATATAAATAAGATAAAATTTATAAATAATGATGACAGTTACGCAAGTCAAGGAAATTATTGACTGCAAAATAGGGACGTTCTTTCAAGTAAATATTAAGTTATGCAAGTACTGTCGGTGAGTCTCCCATTCTGGAAAGTTTGAATACTTCTGTGTATCCAATAATAATTTCGTTATACGTCATCGCATACAAAATATCTTTTATACTACATCAAATGGTCTAAAATTAATTAAAACAATATTGACAAGTTGTCAATGACAACAGTTAAATTTCATTTCAATTAAACTTGCACATACATACTCGCTATTCTCCAGTAGCTTATTGTTTGATTATTTGCTCTGAAATAGAAGCCCCTCCTTGATTTCAGCACTGATAAATAGCATCAGTTTTGGTGTCGATAAGGATTTGTTGGGCTTTTTCAGGATGTCCCAATCAATCCAATTTATTTAGGGATTAAGGGCTGTGGAACCGTGGGGACATCGGGTACAATGTCCCCATGGAAGTTTAGAATGCCCCCATCTTTTCAATGCTATTAAGCTCCTCCTCTCCCTATCTCACAAAGTTAGTGTCCCCACAATGTCCCCGCCGTTCCACAGCATATGGTAGAGGTATCTTTATTACCCAAAATTCCCGTGTTATAACCCTTGATCTATTCGATTTTTGGATACTTATTGAAATTAAGAAAACTTGTTAATTATTGAGAAATTGGGCTTTAGACTGATAAATTGATTTGTGGTAGAAAAATATCAGAGTTATCTTTTTTATTGGTTTCAACGTACTGTACACATTAAAACCAGATAGGAAATTAATTTGACAAATACCAGGCCAAAAACTGAATTTACCGACTCGAAAATAATCAAAGTGAATTAATTATTATTGTGATGAATATTTTACAAAGTTTCTAAACCCAGAACACTTCGGAGCTCAATATTGTAATATATCTAAATACATGTATTTATTAAATGTTCACATATTTGTGTAAATAGTTTGTCATGTCCCTATCGTCACCTTTCCATGAATTCAAGATTAATAATCCTAGATTATTAAGTATTGATTTGAAGATTATTTAGGTTATTTATGAATTAATTTGTTCATACACGTCGTGACATCAATGCTTAAAAGCTGAGTAGCCAATCAAGTAGTAATAAGTAATCAATTAACTAATCAATTAACTATCTCATTAAGCCTAGTTATTGATCAACATTTTAACATTACAGGCTGGATCATAAAGTTCGGGTAAAGAGGTGGACTCATGTATTTTTCAAAACGGCTGAACAGCTTTTATTAATAGTGGTCCATTACTCAGCGGTATTTTGAGGATAATTTGATTAACTTGGTTTATTTTGCAAGCTTTCAGTAGAAATCTTCTACTTTCATCGGGCTAACAATTTTAGTAACAAGATTTACAACATGCATATATACATATTTTTGAGAATGTTACATTTAGATTAGTTATGTTAGTTATGTTAGTTAGATTTTATTAAAACTTGGCGAAAGCAAAGCCCAAACATCATACAATAGGTGTGATTTTGTTGCACAGACTTTAAATTAGTATTCATAAAATGTAAAGTGGTACAAGAATGGGGCCCTGAAATTCACAAATACTCTTCACACCGTACAAGACGTATGTACATACATAAAAATGCATAAAAGTAAACGTACACACTAGCGAACTAAATTGTAACAATGATTGCCCTATATACATATGCATGTAGCAGCCTAAATATTTCTTATTACATTTCAACTCAAAATTTAACATATCCCAGTATCTCGGGTATATTTCGTATCGTGTCATCCAAGGTCCATTTACTGTATCCTTGGAGAATTTCTAGATGGGGTCATGTCAGTTTGAAATTTCCAGAAATTTTTTGCGAATTTTAAAATTTGGGAACATGGACATATGTAGGTGTACATTGTGGTGGGAAAGTTTTATTGTCAGGCACGATAAAATAGTCGGATCCAACAAAACATGCAAATATGTATATAATTTTTGCTTACCGTTTTTGATACTGTTCGTACTTCAAGCATTGCTGCATACTCACATACATGGTAAATATTTGAATTATGAATTAACAGGTCAATTAGAGGGTCATTTCTGGCCACAAATTTTTATATTTTAATTTTGAAGGATATGATGCGATAATAATAAAAAATGCAGCTACTTAAATAATTTCATAAGAAATATCATACGAACCTATGAAAATTACGACGAAGGGAAAATTTGGCTTGAGTGTCAAATGTTTCCGAAAAATGTCAAGCTTTTCAGGTTTTTAATAATTTATTTTCACGCCTTACTCATTGATTTCCATTCAACTGTTGACCTGTTAATGTACCTATGGAATGAGGCACTAATATATAGCAATAAAAGGGGTGTGGTACCGTTTTTTTTAAATTTCCAGTGTTGTTACGAATATAATATTTTGGAAAAAATTGGAACCTAACCCCATCCCAGATTTTTCCTTATAGTTTTCAATTTCAACGAAAACGGTACGCAAAAATTAGGCATTTGTATTTTATGATGGATCCGACTATTTTGTCTTGCTTGACAAAATCAAATTTTGCTTGACAACAAAACTTTCCCACCACAATGCACACATACACATTCTCGAATTTTAAGATCTGTAAAAAAAATTTCTAGAAATTTTAAACTGACGTTACCCTATTTAGAAATTCTCCAAGGATACAGTAGATGGAGCCTGGTGTCGTCGTTTAACTAATATTGGAACAAAATGATGTATAAAATGCACGATTTCCTTATATTCTTCTTCACCTGCAATGCAGGTTAAGAAAATTTAAAAAACTGCACTAAAATAAGAGAAATACTTTTAAAACATCATGTGTCTTATCGGATATCCGTGAGTATCTTCAGATACTATCCGACAGTGATTTTTGATTATCCAAGATTATCCTATCCGATCCAATAGAATAATGTCGGATGAAAACGGCAACCTTGTGAGAAATTACCCTCCTTAATCCATAATTAACAAGCGAGCAGTACCCTTGGTGCAGAATGCATTCATTACTAAGGGACTATACACTGAGACGAAATTATTTCCATATCTAATTTTTAGTGGGACTAATCCACCCACGGTTTTCTTAAGAATAACCCCGTCCCGAAAAGCTTTCGAGGAGGGGGCAGATTTCATCTGATTGATGCACCTGCTTGACCGCTTATTCGCCAAGGCAGCAATTAATCCAAACCCGAACAGGGCCAGTCCCGTCTCTGCCGCCATTATGGGGAAAATTGCATTCCCAATGTGCTCCAGGAGATCAAGTTTGTTTGCCAGGGTTAAATAAGTGCAGAATACGTTTACCGACACGGCATAGAACAAAATGGCGGGAAGAACGATACGTCGGTAAGATAGGTTTATGTGAAGTACTACGATCTCGAGTTGCTGGTAGAATATTACTGGAATTTTGGTGAGTTTGGTGGAACTGAATTTCAGAAACCTGCAATAACACGATATGCCGAATACATGTACATATCCCGGAACAAACTTGGAATTCACCTTTATGAGTTTACTCACAATATCGTCGCAAACATCAGTTCTCACCAAAATTTGCGAATTTGGGAATTTTAGCAAACTTTCATCATGAAAGTTTCATGTGGGAACTAAGTTTGGCAAATGTACTCAAAATTTACTACACCCAACCTCAATGTTTTTATTTCGCAAATGCGGTTCATAGCGGTCATCGTGGCCTTGGTGTTGAAAGTATTTGGTGAAATAAACAATTAGTCTGCGAAAAAAATATTTTCGAAGTGTCATCCGCATTATTTGGTCTTCGCAAAGTCGCAAATTAAGTTGCGATGCGACGGATGCGAAGATTGTGAGTACCCTCTATGTAATTAACTACAAAATGCACCGAGCTGACCTGCTTAGCGCGGTGGTGTACATGGTCACGTGTAGCAGAATTGCAAACAAGATTTGTCCAACGTTCAGGCAGATGGCAATGGACAAAGCGTAGAAGACCCAGGCTTGAAACAAAATTACTGCCATGTGTAGAAATACAACGGAGAGGGTGGCATCCTCGCTCCAGGTTGGCAATAGGGATCCGATGAAAGGCGGGATGTTCGGGTTATAAAATGTTATCATCACCATTCCAAACGGCACGAAGGCTGAGATGAGTAGACTGGACCAGGCGCACATTCGTAAAGCAAGGGACCACTGAGACAGGAAGGCTATTTCACAGATAGGCGGGTAGCCTGCAAGATTTATAAGATTTGCGAGAAATTACTGCAAGAAATTGTTTTTAGTCATTTAAATGTAACTGAAAAATACAAGAGATCGAAGACATAGGCAACATCGAGCGGATAATCTCTATAACTAATTGTAAGTGTTGTACAAAGGGCGAACCGCTAGGTGGGGCCTATTCCTTGCATTTCTTGCACCTCGCATTACTTGCAATTTCTTGCACTGCTGTGTAAGAAACATGGAAAAGGTGCCATAAATAATACACTATAAATTGCAAACTATGCGATCAATTTGCCAAACTTACCCATCTTTTGGAAACATTTATCTTCAAAGTGGAGCATCGTATTCATCAAATATACAAAAGTTTTCGGATAACACAGAATACTCGAACTTATTACCAAACCAGGAGCAAATGCAGTCGTGAACAACTCTACAAATATTTTTCGGTCATCGTTTCGCAGAAAAATTGTATGACATCCGGTCAACACGTGAATTATAATGGTGGTGATAGCGAGACCGATTTTAGTACGGCTCCAAAATGTTGGGCAAGCTGGGTAGAATTGATATCCCTTTGGGTCGAAATGGATGACCCGGATGCCGAATTTGGCCAAAAAATTGAGCTGCATATTGACCACGTGGAGGACCGACTGGAACGACATATTTGGTTGGAAAGTCTCCGATAGCTGTGACGAATATGTAGTCACCAACTTAAAGTTGGTGACTATGCCCACGAATGTGGCCAACTCCTGATCGCGCACTGGCAAAAAGCCATAGAATTTTAAGCATTTTTACAAAATGACAGACAGAATTCGAGCGTAGCCACTGGCTACTAGCCAGTCATGTATCACTTACATGAAGGCTTGGGTAGCATATTTCAATGCTTGCGTCGGAATACATAATATTGTTTGGCTAAAATGGGAATAATAATTTTGTTTGGTTAAATGCGAAGAACATTTTCGTCTCTTGGATGAATACAATATTCATAAACATGCCCATTGTTTTAAGTAAAATATGTACTTTACCCTATTTGCGTGGTCAGACATAGCGCAAATTCAGACATGTATTCAGTCAAACCTACCTTTGATTAATTAATTGACGGATTTAATCATTTTCCCGCCATATTTACCAACAGATTCACTCCTTGATTCTTTGCACGTCTTCCTTAGTTAAAAAGTTGTGGAATTTGTTTATTTGTCAAAATTTATGAACAGATTAGAAAGTAAATTTATTTGATAAATCTACAAATCTTGTACGTATTTATGTATGCTTGTCATAAAATTTCAACGCGGATGATATGATGTCAATAAAATGACCGCTTTGCACACAGGCGAAGCTAGTATGTATGTGCGACCTCGAAGATGATTATTTTATCATATTTGCATAAAAAATGTGATTTTTTCCGTTACACACATTTCATCTTAACATCTTAACGTAACCCTTCAGAAACTACGAGATGTCTGGGCAGTGTTTGCCGTGAGAAAACCACTTGCAAGAAATTACTAAAAGAAATTGTTTTTATTCGCCTGAATGTCGGTGCAAGAAATACACGAAGTGCAAGAAATAGGCGTCATCTAGCGAGCAATCCCAATAATTAAGTGTACTACAAAGTGTGTGCCTCTAGGTGGCGCATATTTCTGACAAGTTCTTGCACTTGTATTTGTTGCAATTTTTTCCGGTGCAGTGCAAGAAAGGTATAAAGACTGACTGGGATATTATTGAGACGGGGAACTTTCAAGGAAGCGTAGCGTAACTCCTAGCTACAAACACTGCAAAAGCACAATCAACCGTCTAACCCAACATTCTCTTAATATAATTAATATTTATTTCATCCTGGCAAAAATATTTTTGAAATTTACATCCCAAGCGCCTTCTTAACATTAATTCTACCCCATCCGAAAGCATTATTTGGATAATTTGACGTCGTGGTGTTCCCACAGGCCAAGTCCTTGGCATCCACGGGTGGTCGGTCTGCCGTATTTTTTAACGCGGACAATACATCATCAAATTTCCACGACGGGTTAGCAGAGAGCATTAAAGCAACCGCCCCAGCATTGGGACAGGCCATACTCGTTCCCGACATGACACTGTAAAGGTTAGTTTTTCTATTGCTGTCGAACCAGGCAGAGTAAATGTCCACCCCGGGAGCAGTTACCTGAGTAATATGGTATACAATATTGGTTAACCTTTTGGATACTGACGTTACATTTCTTGAAAAGTCGTTCGCTACCAATTTCAAACTTTTGTGTATTCCAAGAACTTAAAAAAGCTCGAGAATCCACGTTTTAACATTGTGTTGATACATATAGAAAAAGTTCAAAATTTTGGCATTAAATGGTCACAGAACGAAGTGGTCACTATTTCCTATGGAATTTTACACTTTTTCCATCGATTTGTTTAACTATTCCTGTTTTTATTCCTGATTTTGTCTCGTAGTCAATGGTAAATTTTCAAATTAAATAAGAACACATGATGCGACAAATTTGGTCGTCCTGTGAGGGCAAGGAAAATACGTATGTGAATTTGGTCTCAATGAGGTTAATATGTTGAATTGATTGTTTGGTCATTGAATTATGTTTGAGTGTGTGCATGCTAAACAAACTTTAACGGTGTAGATATGTCACCAAACCTTCATGATTTAAGACCTTATTACCATGGGACGAAATTTCATCGAGATATAATAATTTCAACACAAAATGGTTAATAGTTGGAAGCAGATCGGAAAAATTTCGCCCCACGTGGTAGTCAGGGTTCCTGGGTCGGGTTTTTGTGGGTCGGGTTTTTGGGTGGGTTTTTGGGTCGGACCCGACCCAAATTTTTCACTGACCCGACCCATTTGGGTCTTGGGTTTTTTAAAATGCAATCAGGCATCAGGATTCGTGCATTTATTATTCTCTCCATCATCTGATCGAAGTATTTTTCTATTTCTTTCAGTGTTTTATCTTATTATTTAACATTTCATATTTGTTACAACGTACAATTATCAAAATGAGCGGACAGCGCAAGCAACTACCCTACACATGCGAAATCAACGTGAATCTTAGTTTATCATTGTCACAGATACTCGCTATTTCAGGTACTCAAGCACTTATTATTTTGCAAGTACATTATAGGTGAAATAAGTAAAACGGTGTTAATTGTCTGCTTAATTTGCTTCATAATTACCTGGCATTATAATAACATGAAAAACCCAAGACCCAAAAACCCATAAAACCCAAAAACCCGCAAAAACCCATGGGTCGGGTTTTATTGTCGTTTGGGTCGGGTCTTAGGAACCCTGGTGGTAGTAAAGCCTCAACCATCTAGGTTAACCTCATTTAGACCAAATTCACCATATGAGGTATTTTCCTTGATGGCACTTGACGACCAAATGCGTCATATGGTAAACTTTTACTTAATTTTAAAATTTGCTATTGATTACCAAAATCATGCATGAAAATGGGAACAGTTGAAAAACTCGATGGGAAAAAAGTGGAAAATTCCGTAAGAAATGGTGGTGCTTCTGTGACAATTCCCAGCCAAAATCATGAACTTTTCTATATCAACGTAATCTTAAAAAGTGGAATTTTCCGATTTTTTGAGTTTTCGGATTACAGAAAAATTCGCAATTGGCAGCGAACAGCTTTTCATAAAATTTAACATCCATATCCATGAGGTTAAGTCACACATTGACGTAGTTAGTGTTAAAGAATCTATTTTTTTGGTAGTATTCTGTATGAATCCCGATTAGTGCGGAACACTACTAAAATATCTGAAGATTCGACCAACCTCCGGTTTAATAGCACCACTTTTAGCAAAACCCCTCCCACTAGTTTTACTCATGGTATCATTGATGCTTGTCGACCCGACCGAGATAACATTTGGCTGATCTCCTGGAGAACCTGCACTCCTACAAAGGTCGCCGTGATTTCCTATGGCAAAAATCGGGATGATTCCAACCTCCCTCCAACTTTGGATGATATCACCGAACTCGGAATTCCCACTTCCACCCACCCAACTGTTGCTCACGATGTGCGGCCTCTGCTGGAAGATCCATTGCCCACAAATCCTAAAAGCAATTTCCTTGCTGGACCCGTTAGCTAGAAATGCTTTGCACGCTATCCATTTTGCACCCGGGGCAACGCCGATTCCTTTCGTCCGACCGCAGATGATCCCTAATTATTTAAAATTGGGGTAGAATGGTACCCAAATCTTAGATCTAGTTGATGAAATTGTTCGCATTCTCACCCATCACGTGGGTCCCATGACCGTACTTGTTCGTATCGATTGGTGTGGTCGAATTACTCTCTCCAGAAGCGTCCAACCATTTGCCGGCATAGTTATCTTTCAAAGCCTCGTGTCCAGCATACACGCCGCTATCAATGGTTGCCACGACGATATTTTCTCCCTTAGTTTTCCCCCATACGGACGGGGCTCCTATCTTTGAAACTGTAAACGAAAGCGAAATATGAAAACCAGAGATGCAATTTTTTATTAACCTCTAACTCACGTCTAAAAAATCCTCAATTTATTACATACTTCTAACTCTCGTCTCTTCTAAAAAATTACTGTTATTTTTCCTCTATTTAGCTCTAGCTCTGCTCCAAAAAAGTTCTCAAATTTTTACATCTCACTCTCGTCGCTTCTAATTTGCACCAAAAATATCAACCACTAACTCTATTTCCCACTCCCTCAAGCTCTCTAATTAGAGTTAAAGGTAAAATCGCATCTCTAATGAGAACACAGAGCGTATCTTTGACATCCAATTACAAAAATTGTGCATCTGAATTTTTGTAAAAAAAAATGAACTTTCTGAACATATTTACCTCCCCATTGTGCCTTAATTTGTCGAATTTCCCGCTTGTGAATGGGATCACTGCCAACCTCTACCGGATCAATCGTGGCGACAAACTGTTCTCGAATGTGGAAAACACCCGGGAGAGCTCCCAGAATTCGAACGGCTTTCAAATCCACATTGTTTAAACCGATGTGGTTCGAGATCCAAAATGGGGTGGCTGATTTGGATATTCCAAGTCCTCTGATGACCGCCATGAAGGGTGCTTGTGACGCAGCGGTGGCTTGTTTCATTAAGGCCTTCATCATACCCGCTTTGGCAGCCCCGATCAGAAATTTTAAGGCTGGATTGCGCATAACTTTACTAAAAAGGGAGGGCAGCTCCAGCATGACGTCGGCCTTGTCACCATTCTTCAATTTGAATAAAAGCTGAGTACAAATGGATCCAGAGCGCGCGGAGTTTGAACAGTTGCAGAAAGCTGCCAGTATTAGGGTGACGCTGCACAGCGAGATCCTCCTGGATTGAGGACTCATCGAGAATTGTAATGTATTTATTTACATATTTAGTTAGTTAAGTGAATTAAATGAAGAAGAGTGCATGTGTGTGCACATACATACGAACATACTTACAATGCGAAGGTGTCCGCGGGTTACCTCGGATTTCGGCAGGATCAATTTTAGCTTGTTAAGGGTCAAAAATAAGTAGACACGTGTTTTGGTTTTGGGATGAATGCGCTTTTTTGACTGCATGACGGATTTTTTAAAAATCAGAGAAAATTTCATATTTTCAAAACGCTATAACTTTTCGAATTTTGGCGCGATTTAAAAGATTCGAAAACACTTATCCCTAAAATTACCTAGTTGATTTTTCAAAAATGCATTCTCCATTTTTTTAGATTTTGAATTTTGTCTTTTTTATAGTGTAAATATGTATCTGAACCTCACCTTAGACTAACAATTATGAGCATAGTTCACACCAGTAAAGTCGGCTAGTTTAGAATTAAGTTAATGGACTTCCCCGACAGTTATGTAAAATTTAATTACAGCATGTTTTAGCAAGTAGAACCGGGACATCCGCAAATGGGCCATTGGCTGAAATTGATTTCAAGAATAAAATTTTAATGGTGCAATTGATTTATTCTATTCCAACCATCATTTGAAAACAATAAATTCATTAAAATCGATTTATGTAAATCATATTAATGCGTTTCATCCGCTGTATTGTTTGTACCATTTCCGATGAATTGAACATCTGCATTACCGAAGTACCTAAACTATACAAACATACATACATAAATTCATTAACCAATGGGGTTTGTAAGACAACATTTTGAAAAACGGGTAGTCGTGACCCGGTATGCACAAGATTGCGTATCGAATGCTCTTCGCATTGCGTTAATTCGATATACGTTCGATTCGATTCGATTCGATTTATCGTATTATAAGCGCATTCGTTTAGCATGCAAATAAAGAACCTGAAAACGAATACGTTCGTTGGCGTCATATCGAATGCGGATAGAATACGATATAGGAGTGTTTTGGATCCCGTGGACTTTCTCACGATCGAATTCATATCATACACTGATTAACGCATCAAAATCGCACCTCATTTTTTCTCATTCATTCCGAATACGAATAGCATTTTTATAAAGAATTAGAGGGAAACTTGATCCACTCCATGCGGCTCGCTCTTTCATTCACTCATCTGCCTCCATCTTATCCACAATGGCAAGTGCAAAATTTTCAGTTGTGAATTTTTATAAAGAGAAAAAAGTAGCAACGGTTTTGACTTCTTGGCTAGATGCACGCTTTATATACTGCGCTTGGCCTTCTGGACCCTGTGCTGCCGACAAATTAAAGACTTTTGCACCGCCTGAAAAAGCCTGGCCAAAGTATCCTTGTAAACATATAAAATTTGCAGGTAATTTAAACTAAATAAAATTTTTGTAGAAATTTTGTAAACATTCATTTAACGATTCAAAGTAATTAAATTTTAATAATTAAATTAAGAAATTCTTTGTTTTTTATAGACTCTTTAGAAGAAGCTAACCGCTACCGTGACAAGGCTCAATTTCAGTCGGAGGTCGACTCGTCAGCGCCCGAGAGCCCCCACTTTTCCAAGACAAAACCCCGTCGTAAGAAGATTCAAGTTAAAAAGCCAGCATCGTTTTCTGCCGACCAGGAATCGGACAGTCTCTCATCGAACGAGGAAGAAAACGACCAACTTTTTAAATTTAGGTGGTGAGCATTATGCCATAATTTTATCAATTCTAAGTGCATTTTTTCAAGTATTAGTATGCATGTAATATAATAACACACTGTTAATTTTGCTTTCGATTAGAATCCGAGATTCCGTCAAATACAGATACTGCACCAGACGACGACAACGTGGAGATTAATGGCCAGGAGGGTGGATCGAGTGAGCTACAAATAGAAGTAGTTGATGATGTTTCGAATTATGTTGTCGTCCCCCTTCAAGAACTTGAAAACATAAAAACAGAGCTTAAAAGTAAACATGAGTGTTAAAATTGTGCCTCATCAAATTTGCAAATACCATTTGTAATTTCTCCTTTTACAGATTTACAATTGACAGTGGCGGAAAACCTCGTAAAAATTAACGGGAATTTGGAGGAATTGCTGCGGCGGTCGAACCTCGTAGGTGGCATAGTTGAGGAGATAGCATGCGACCACCCAACTCTCCCTGTGACTACTATTGAGAATTTTGACAAGTTGTCAGAGTGGATAAAAACTCGAGAGAACAAAATAAAGTTGGTAAGCTGTTTGAACTTGCGGCACATGATATGTCACACGGAAAATTATTTGGTGATACGGGCTGAAAAATTTATTTAATATTTTTGAACGGTTAACTAGGTTGCGAAACTAAGGATTTTGGGCGGAGCAAACTCCGAGGAGATAAGCAAACGCGTTTTGGATTATCTGTTTGCTAAGAATATTGCCAAAATTGTAACTTTAACGGGGGTGGGAAAAGGGGTCTTGCGTGGTTTTCGTGATTCCGGGCTTATAGATTTGATCAATAGTAAGCAGGCAGTTACCTTCTATTTTATAAAAAACTAATGAGGATAATATAAATAATGTTACGGTCAGTAATAATGAAATAATTTATTAACTATTTAGGTAGTGTTCGGGCAACTAGTGGTGGTGAGCAATTTACAACTGCAAAGGCGGAAGCTGCAATTAAGAAATGGGTCAAAAATAAAAGCGACTCGAGGGCGGAAACAAGATGTCTGGGCGCGTCGCGAAGTCTCTCCGTTCCCAACAACGAAAACGACGAGAACAACTGAAGAGGTTGTTAGAAAAAATGCGAGGTGCCCCGAGCGCGAATAGTTTTAAAAGTACAAATACTAATACACGGAATATTAATTGTTATTCTCATACAGATTGTTTAGATAAAAATGTAAATCATTTAAATTCAGGTCTAGCTTCATCACAAACTAATATTAATATAGAAGACGAAAACGAATTGTATATCGATATGTCACAAGAAACAATTGTCCCTATTGGCCAGGAAATTAGGAGCTGGGTTTTAAAGCATAATGTAAACCACAGTTGTCTTAGAGATTTACTAAAAATTATACATGGTCATAACATTCCTTGCGATTTACCCCTTGATCCAAGGACTTTAATGGAAACAACTCGATTGGTTAATGTTCAACAAGCTAGTGGTGGGTCTTTTGTCTATTTTGGTATTATGAGTGGCGTAACAGATCGTTTTCTAGCTGGTCTTCGTCCATTGTCACAATTTAGCTCCCCAATACATATTAAGCTTCAGAACCAGGTACCTCATCCATTGCTTAGCGTAAGGATTGGAGTGGATGGGATACCTGTCTCCAAAAGCAATAACAAACAATTCTGGCCTGTTTTAGGAGTTCTTGATCAAAGCCAATGCCAAACTCCATTTGTTATTGCTTTGTATTATGGAAATTCTAAACCTACCGACCAACAGTTCCTTCAACCCTTTGTGCAAGAATGCAAAGAATTGGAAGAGAATTGTATTGTTGCTGGGAAGCCATTTTCTTTTCGAATTTCTGCCATTCTTGCTGATGCTCCAGCTCGCAGTTTTCTGAAAAATTGTAAAGCACATAATGCTTATTATGGGTGTGAACGGTGTAATGAAGAGGGTACGTGGAGTGGTAGGGTAATTTACCATGATTCAAATTGCAATCCCCGATCTGATTTGTCATTTGAAGAAATGATCGATGAGGATCATCATAATGGGGAAACAATACTAAAATGTATTTCAATTGGTTTAGTTAGTCAGGTACCTCTGGATTACATGCACCTGGTGTGCTTGGGCGTAACCCGAAAATTACTAAGGATGTGGGTAAAAGGAAAGCTACCACATAGATTACCAAGTAGGGACGTTTTATTAATATCCAAACGTCTACTTCGACTCAGACCATTCTTTCCTTCAAGCTTTCAAAGAAAGCCAAGGTCTCTTGTTGAAATTGATCACTTTAAAGCTACGGAGTTTAGAACTTTTCTGCTTTATACAGGAGTTGTTGCTTTAAAAGGGATAATAGATAGAAAGCAATATAAATGTTTTTTGTTATTTCACTGTGCCATTTTCATATTGTTATCTTCTAATGCTTCTGAGCCTGAGTGGAACAGTTTAGCAAAATCTTATCTTTGTAAATTTGTTGAAAATTGTTGTGCACTTTATGGACGCGAGTTCCTAATATACAATGTGCACAATCTCTTACACATAAATATCGATGCAGTAAATTACGGGAATCTTGATAGCTTGATAGCAAGTACTTTCCCCTTTGAAAACTTTATGCAGAAAATCAAACACATGTTGCATTCGCATAATTTCAAACTGCAACAGGTTGCAAAAAGAGTTTTGGAAATGCAAAGTTTGGAAAGGGAAGATAAAGAACCTGACAAAAATAATTCACTATGGTTTGAACACGCGTGTAAAATAGGTGACAATTGCTTCTTGCATAAATCAGGAGATATATTAGTTTTAACAAATTTGCTTACTAAATGCAAAAATGAGAATGTAAGATTTGAGGCACAAAAATATATAATTCGTAGTAAACTAGATGAGTATCCTATGGATAGTTCTTTGTTAGGAATTTTTGTGGTAGAGAAGCTTTCTGATAAGTTTACAATTGTTATTAATGCAAGCGATATTGTATGTACATATTTTCGAATGTATTTATCTGACAAAGTTGTTTGTATTCCACTTTTGCATACAATAAAATAAAAAGAATAAATATAAAATTTGAGTACTTATGTCCGAATGAAAACCGCATTAGCAACACAGTCAACAAACAGTATGAGAAACGCATGCATTTTCCCATGTACTAAACGAATTCGATGTCTCGCATTCGACCTGCCACCGTTCCTAGCATGCGACTCAGATTCGTTTCTTGCATGCGGACCGTAAGTTCCGAGGCGACAAACACGAAGGCGAATCGAACTCGGCCGTCGAATTGATATCGCGTTCGATACGTATTCTCTGTGCACACCGGGGACTGCTTAATGAGCCTTTTGAAATTCAAAATTTGAATACCCCAGACCCTGGGAGTGGGACAAAATTCGAAAACTATTGTAACCCCTACACCAAAAAGCTTAGCAGTCCTGGAAACATATCACAAAGGAGGAATCTGCTTCCTGACCTTCAATGCCTGAGCGGTGACCTTTCAAGACAAAATTCGGCTTCCCTGAGAATCTCCGTCAAAATTTAAAAGTTCAGCATAATTCTTATTCTTAGATTATTAAAAGTCAAAGACTGTTAAATTTTGGTATTTTAAAGCACATTTATAAGCACTGACAATATTATAGGACATTAAATGAAGAATTTTAAGAACTTAGCTTACGCCACTAAATTATGTCTGTTGCTGGATTTCAGTCTGTTGCTGGATTTCATTCATGACATACCGTAAAATCTCTAATGGAGGCCGGTATCTACTAATAGCCGGGTGTCCAATTGTGGCCGGGTCAAAAATGCTGTAAAACGGTTTATACACCGGGTCTCTTATTGTGTCCGGGCCTCTATATTACTCCAATTATAGTCAGCGCCTACTGTACATCCAGATTCAATCATATTATATGTAATAATGTAAATTGTTGTGATCGTTCTTGGAAATTTCTGGATGGCTGGTCTCTAATTCTTGCCGGGTCAAAAATTTATGAATCACAGTATAGGCCGGGCCTACAATTTTTGCCGGTCTCCAATTGAGGCCTGGTCTCAAAATCCAAATTTTAAATAGTGGCCGGAAGTCTCTAAATATTAGAGATTTTACGTTACATATGCTAATCAAGAGAGTTTTCATTATTCAGGACAAGTTTTTACTGACGGACGCATATTGTTACGCTCGGGCCAGCTATAACTGGCCGGAATACTCGTTGTCGATGACGAACTATGTACGTCGACATGGTTTGTCTCGTGCAACACGTGCCGTGTTGGCGATACTGCACTGTTGTTTATATTTACATATGTAAACGCGAAGCTTGTTCCTAACCTACGTGCGAGATTAACATTTTGGTAGGCAAAGCGATTCGACGTATTTAACCATAGTTTTTTGTCAAACCTGCCAAAATTTTAGTTTTTATATTCAACACGCACTCTAATGGTAAATAAATAACTTTCAAATGACAATGCTTCTATTTTGTGACAAAATGATTATCTATAATTATTTTGTGACAAAATGATTATGCATATAATTATTTTGTTTGATTGTCAGATTGTGGAGGATGTGACAGTTGCATTGAGATATTGACATCATATCTTTCCACTTCAAGTTCCAGTCTCCAGGTTTCCAGTTATGACTGCTTTGAAAACGAGTCATTGGTATAACGCAATATTTGGTTTGGCCAAAACGGTTTAAAACTAGATGCGAGATGTGTCGGAAGCTCTGCTTGGTGGTCGCAGAAAATTCAGCGATTACGTCCCTAATTCTTTCTACCCTCGTCTCACCTTAGTTTGCAAAGTTTCAAAGGATACGAAATACTGGTCCATTTTGGACCGTATTGCGACACGAAGCCAAATATGGGATCTAATTCTGCTCTACGTAAACTACAAGAACCAAAAAATTACTCGCTGCGAATTTTACGCGTTTCAGAAATATTGGGTTGGGGAATTGAGACGACGACAGTACCAACTAGCACAATATAGTCGAGAAATATTAAAAAGACAGTCGGGTCTCTCGAAACAATGTGTCCCTTAATACCAGCACATTAATATAAGAGTTTGTAATGACTATTGGCCTAGCAAAATTGAAAAGTATGAAAATCCAAACAATTCTAAATTCGTATTTTTGTACAATATTTTTCGGCTATTTGTGTGCAATTTTTTTTACTGTCGTCGTCTCAATAACTCACAGAGATTTGATTTTTGGCTCTTGTAGTTAAAGTAGAGTGACATATGGTCCCACGCTCACCGTGTCTTGATCTGAAAAGCAGTGTCAACTGATGATCCGCGACATTTTAATAAACAATAAACAAACAAACAAACAAACAAACCTATCCCCCAAGTGCGTCGCAACACGGTCAAAGATGGCCATGAATGTCATGCCCTGGGAAACTTTTGCGCCCGAATAAATCAGCAACTATGACGAATTTCGAAATAATGATATCCTTCATTTCGTCATGTACAATCAAGGCGAATTCAACGCCGTCGACAGTTTTCATCTAACTCAACAATGGGATACTGGGGAGAAAACTCCCCTCCCCCTGGGGACGTGTTGCAGTGAAACTTTTATTTTTATAATCCCTGTGCCACATAATGTTTGATTATATCCAAAATATCCAAAATATGCAATGTTTGAATTTTAAGAAATTTTTAAAAATCTTGCATCACTGTGCAATAAAAAAAAGTCAACTTCACATTTATTGCGATAACATCCACCGATAAGGCATATGTACGTTGTGTTATTAAATTAATTTACCAGGCTGGATTTATGATTATATTTACCACTGATATCCAGCTTATTCACACCTGACTAAAGTTTTGTACACGTAAGGTAAGTAATCATCTCGTTACTCAACCTGAACTTCGCAATTCCATCGCAACTCGATAATACTTTAATAATCCCCACATCACAAGCCTCTGCCATCCTAACGTCCTGCCAGTCAGTCAAGTCCATCTACCTCACCCAGCACAACATTTTATTTCTCTCGAGAAAGCATTTTAAGAAATTTAAATTAAAATCCGTCCCCTCAAAATGTTGCCAGTCACCCGTCCCATTTTGGCCCTACTTGTTGTTCTCCTCTCGATCGGGGCGCAGGCTACGAAGACCCGCACAATTTCCGCACTCGAGCTTTTAGCTAGTGCGAAGGTTTTGCAAAATGCGATCGGCTCCTTGGACGATGCTGGATGGACGGCGACGATGCAGCCCGAGGACAATTTTGGCGAGGCAAAAATCAAACAATTCGAGGGGTTCGAAGGTTTGAGGGGTGCGGTCGATGTGCTCCCAGGGATTAAAGGATTGGACGGAGTGGACGACGTGGCTAACGAAGAAGAGCGTAAGGAATTTTAATTAGATGTACAATTTTTAAATGCGCAAAAATTTATTTTGTATGTACAACAATTCATCTGACCGTTAATCGTGTAACGAGTTTATCAGAGTTTAGGATTTATTACAGGATTGGATTAATCGTGTAATAAATGGTTTATTGGTCCGCAATTGTTTTGTTTTGCTCGTTATACTCTTCATGGTTTGGCTTTCTTATCTATCTGCCTGCAGATAACGTAGATAGATAACGTAGTAATAAGTCATCCACGTGCGGAATTTTATATCGATGCACCGATACTAGTTAAAATTTGTCACCAGGTTGGTATTAGTCTTACTGCAATTGGGTAATAAATTCAAGCATGCAATCTATTTATTTGCCAAATTTATTTTTATCATTTTGGAAAATGTCAACTAAGAATAATATTAAGATGAATTGGATGCAGAGTAATTACGGGGCTCAACCGGTTCGGTGATAATATGTTATAAAAACGGTAATAATAAATTCCTGGAAATTTGACTCATTTCTTGATGTAGAGTAACAAATTTTGCACCGTAGGACAACTTTCCCGAAATTTTGTATGTTAATATTATTACCGTTTTTGAAACAAATTAAAATATAGCCAGCTCTGTAGGATTGGGTGTCAAATTGACCTCGTCATATTGACATGCGGCAAGTTGACCTGGCTACAGGTTGGCTTCATGCCATATTGACCCAGCGGCACATTGACCCAATGCTATATGTATATACCACCACTGTATATTTACAAAACAATAATACACAATAAAGGCAACTGAATTTTTCATTTTTTTCTCTATTTTCGCGAAAAATCGGATTTATTTATACTGTAGTTCGTATTGTAGTGCGTATAATATTGAAGTTTCAGATAGTTCCTTCGCATGTCCAATGGCAATAGTTTTTCGAATTTTTAAATATTTTCGAAAATTTTATACTGTTATGAACCAATCAAATTTTGAGAAAATTTTGAAACAAATAGTTGAGTTTGCTATTGGACATGATACATGAGACAGAAAATATCTGAGACTACGTTGTAGTCTCAGATATAGTAGTTTGTAGAAATATTCGAAAATTTTTTTTTGTTTTATATTGTAATAACGTTGGACTAATTTTTGACTCGAATTTAATATGAAATAAAATTAAATATACAGTGGTGGTACATATATTGGGTCGATCTGTCGGCGGACAGATAAGTTACCAGGTCAATGCACTCCTGGGTCGCGAAGTGTTGCTGGCCCAATATGTGCCCGTCAATTTGTCGCGGGTCAATCTGACACCCCACCGCACTGTAGAGCCTCGTAGTTCCTTTGTACGGTAACGATGTATGTATTACTATATAGAAACTGCGTCAAAATCTGAGGTAACATCAACCGAGGAGCTCTCCCCCCTTCAAGAGTGCAGAGAACCAGCGATTGAGGAATTTCCGAAAGATTTATTTACCAAGGCTCAACTGCAATCTGGCTGGATAACGATACATATTTTAGTCACCATTTACCTCTTCTACGCCCTTGCAATTGTTTGCGATGACTATTTTGTCCCCTCCGTGGAAATTATGGCGAAAGGTTGGAAAAATATTTTAACATTGCAACCTGGCAGACGCCAGAGCAAATACAACAGTTTATTGGATGCCTTGGTCTAATTGTGAGGATAAATTGTTACTAGATAGTAGTGATATCACCAGGTGGTGACACATTGTTGCCAGACGGTAAGAAATTATTACAGGATAGTGATAAATCCTTACCGCACAGTAGCAAAGATGTTACCGAGTTGTTTGACCATTGACAGTATATTTTTTTGTTAGTACACGGTAACAATTTCCTCTACTGTACTGCTGACCATACATATGCTCCATCTTCTGGATTAAATTCTAATGTCATTTTTTTAAATATTTTCCAGCGTTAAATATTCCAAGTGAGATTGCCGGTTGTACAATTCTTGGTATATCGAACTCTTCACCGGAACTTTTTACCAATATTATCGCTACCTTCGTGGCTAAGGGAGATCTTGGCATTTCATCGATCGTGGGTGCATCCGTGTTTAACCTCTTCGCAGTAGCTGCTTCAATTGGGATAATTTGCAGAAAGGTATAGTAAATAGTAGAACAGTTTCAAACCAATGGTTGGAAATTGCACATAAAATCATAGTAGTCTAAAATCCAGGGTTTCAGATGACATTTATCATCCATTGGTATTAATTGGTAAAATCAAGCTAAAGTTGGGTGACATCAAATATTTCACAAGAATTATTATAATAAATTTAAATTCGGGCACTGAGACTTATCGAGTAACCTTAAAACTATGAAAATATATCATTCATGGTCCTAGATATTCGGTGAATGCAATAAATTGTACTTCGTTTTAATTTACCCCTTTTACATTGACACGAATTAATGTCACAAATGTCAATTGAGGTCAGTTATCAATTGAAAGATCAAATATAAGAGATCAAAGAAATTGCTAAAAAGGGAACAATAAGTTGTACAAAATTTAAATTGATTAACCCACGCTCAGCAAATTGTAACTAACAATTTAAGCCACGTATTTAGATATGGAAATATTATTTTTATCATTTTCGTAAAAGATACATATTTAGCTAAACGGGTGGTATAACTCGTGCACAATTTGTCAACCATGTAAGCTTTTTTTTGGGAAGTCAAAAATAATTTGCCAGCATATTGTTAGCGTAGATGTTCATCCGCGGGTCTGATACTTGCACACCATAAATTTTAGGTGTTCACACCACCTGGGAGGAAGCTGGCCCCCATGAACCGTCATGGCTTTAATTATTTTTGTATAGACCAGCTTATCGATCTAGTAACACGTGATAAAATTGGATCCAATTCGGTCCACGCAGAGTAGAGTTATCGACTTCCGAGCCTCGATAATTGCCCATCTGTGCTCATCTAAAATGTATGGCGTGCATGTTCCAGACCCTCATTAGAACATCTACCAAGAAATATTCTGAAAAATATATCTTTTGAATTTCCCCAAAACCTAGCTGCGACATTGAGCCAATTTTTTGCCGTATATTTTCTAGAACGGCGCTAAAATCGAGTGGTACCCATTATCCAGGGATTCTTTAGTCTATATCATATCCGTGGGAGTTTTGGCCTTAATTTTAGGTGACAACCATGTTCATTGGTATGACGGGTTAGTCCTCGTCCTCATGTATTGTGCCTATATTGTTGGTAAGTGTGACACCTTATTTGTATACTCCGCGATTATTATAGCTATGTAAGACCTCGGTAGTGGCAGATTCTGTCCGCATAACTCGCCCGCTAAGGGAAACGTCAGACTCATAACGAGAGAATTCTTGATGATTGTGTTGTTTTGGGCAACGAGTGGTCCCCCGTTCCCCCAGTTGTTGATTTAATGTCATTCAGTGTCATTAATTTCGTTAAATTGAGGTCATATTTCAGAAAGATTGACCACGATTTGGCGGCATAAAATTCAAAAATGGCTACAACCAGATAGATCTGGATATCAGATTGAGATTGTGACTTCAGAGGGTCGTGGCTATGCTAATCAAGGAGCATGTATTTATGTACATTATAACTTCTCAAATAATTACATTTATTTTACCAAGCACAGTTATAATTTTCAACAAAAGGACTCACGCCTTTGTAAAAAGTATGCTTCGACGTGTCAAGTATTGTTGCCAAGGGAAGCGAGGGAAAACTCGGAACTGCATGACTACCGTTTCCACTTTAAACAGTTTAAACAGCGTGATCAGCAGTCCCAGCAAGTTGGATGAAGAAGAAGATGAAGAACAACCAATTCCTGAAGAATTTGATGAAGGTGCACATACATAAATTAAATTGACTTAAAATGATTTTTGGTTATCAATTTTACCGTAGATTAAATCCTGTCAGGCATTCAAAATAATACTTTTTTATGAATCGCCAACGTGCGGAGTCACTATGGGATTCAACCGAGTTTGTGATAATCAGTTATAAAAACGGTAATGATAAATTCTGGGAAATTTGAATTTATACATGGTAAAAAAGTAGCAACTTTTTTAACCGAAGTGTAATAAATTCAAATTTCCCTGTACTTATTATTACCGGATTTATAGCAGATGATCACTAAATTTACTAGCCTAACTAAACTCATTAGAATATTATTTTGCGTATAATAAACCATATTGACACTGCATGATAATAAGAATGCGACCGATTTCGTAGAATCACGAATTTGGTGGTGGTGACAATTTTGTCTTGCATAAAATTACCTGGTGATTCAGGATTACCATCTTTTTCGGAGGTTAATTACCATAAAATTTAATTCCTTCGTCTCTTATTTTTAGCAACAATGCCAATCTGGCCACTTCCATACGGCGAGTCGTACTTCTACTGGGCCAAGTTCATCATCGGCTGGCCAATCCGACTCGTATACAAGGGCACCGTGCCCGACTGCAAAATACCCACTGTTCGAAAATGGTTTCCCGTCACTTTGTTTGCCTGCATCGTTTGGAACACGATTCTTTGTTACTTGCTCGGCTGGATGGTTACCGTGATAGGTACATAAATATGTCAAATGTAAGAAACCACATTACGTAACAACAAATGTACATGCAGGTTGGACTTTTGGAATTCCGGACACTGTCATGGGCATCACGCTCTTCGCCATGGGGACATCTGTACCACAAGCCGTTTCTTCCATTATAGTTGCAAGACGGGGTACTGTGAAATCTGTTTTGTACTTACATTGAACTGAATTTTCCAGAATTCTTACCAATTTCTTCTCACCTTTAAAAATACTATTGCTAAAGACCAACTGTGACCCTAAATAATTTTGCTGACTGTTTAAAATCCGAGAAAACCTCGCTAAAACTGAACCGTGACTTATCGGTAGAAATATTTTTATCGGAATGAATTATTCAACAACTTGAAACACGAACAAATTAGTTGCTAAGATAGAGGTTCCTAGTCTCAATTAAATTATTACCGGTTAAGTTATTATCGGTCGGGTCTTTGCTGTTATCCACGCGGGTAGTACTTCTTTTAATCGCTCCACTTAATTCATAGGAATGGGAACCATGGCAATGAACAATGCCATTGGGTCAAACATTTTCAACATTTTGGTCTGTCTGGGTGTCCCGTGGATGATTCAAACTCTAATACTTGTCGGAGATTCGACCGCCAACGAACGCTATATCGTCATGAGTTCGCGCGCCCTGGGTTACACGGCGTTCATCCTGATCGGCTGCATGGTCGGTCTCTACGTTACGATCGCCCTCAACAGATTCACGATAGATTTAAAAGTCGGCCTTGTCGCTTTAGGCAGCTATGTCATCGCGATTACTTTGGCATCCCTGTTTGAACTTAATGTCTTTATGGATGTCAACCTCCCATTGTGTAAAGACTAAGAGGTTTACTTATTAATTTATTTCATGTTAGAAATGTTATAGTTGTATTTTTAAATTGCTTAATTTTCGTGAGTGGATGAGAGTGAGGTCAAGATAAACGCTGTATGGTTAAAAATCTGGCAATAAAAAATAATTTACTGGTCAGCGGTTAGCTGATACATTTGAAAATTTATGAAAACTATTTATCATCAGTTTCGGGACATATTTATGTGAAATGCATATTCACATAGCCAAACAGTAATTCATTGGGTTGCTTTTATTCAAGTAATAAATAGCATGTCTTTGACCTGCGGTTTTTGCCCTTAAACCCGTGAAACATTTTGTTTACATCACTAGAGTACGAGGGGTGATCAGACATTCAGTGTAAAGTTAATTTCAAGGGTAACTTGTGAACGCGCCTGCCAAGTGCCGACAAATTTGGTACATATAATCTTGAAGGTCACATGGTCAGACTCTCGAGGTTTCCAATCTGTATTAAGAATGCGTGGCTATAAAATTGACCCCAAAGTGGAAGTATCAGTGAAAGCGCTTTCCGAAGCAAAGTTGACCCCAAAGGACATCCAATCCACTATCCAGAAATCCGGAACTTATATCGCAGTGTCTACCATACATATACAACATCAGCAATTCCAAGGGGAAACGGCGACAATCATTTGCATCCGGTCAAGGAATTCCACGAAATAGCTACCCCATAAGGTCAAGACTTAGGCTATTCTCAAGAAATTGATCGGCTAACCGATAAGGAAAATTCTCCGAGTCAAAGAGAGATTGCAAAGCAATGCCAGAAATCTTAGTCCCTTGTCCACGAAATAATAGATCGAGATTTTGGAAAAATCGTTCATGAAAAGCCAATGGTACATGCTCTGAAACAGTCTCACAAAGCAAACAGAAAAACCAACTACCGGAAGCTATACGAGGGTCATCTTGCAGGTGGAAGGTCCGAATTTGTTGTGACGTTGGACCAGGCACTCTTCTTCGTTGAGGACTGCAACCGGACCCGAAGGATTTGCCACACAAAGAACAAAAAACTAGTGTCCAACTATGTCTGTCAGAAATAGGAAAAGTTCTATGATCGATTTATGGTGGTGCGTGTAATGTCGGGCCGTGAAGTGTTAGATTTCATTCGTTTCCGGTCAAATGCAAAAATTAGCTCGAAGTAAGATGTGGGCAATGTTTTACGTTGGCTTTTGGAGATCGAAATTCCAAAGAAGTACCCTGGGGAGCTGCTCAAAGTTTTCATTCATCATGACGCAGCATCGTCACACACCACAAAGTTTATGCAGCAGTACGCCCAAGATTTAAAAGAAAGGACCGGAATGACCTTGATGTCTAATTCGGACATCCCTATCAAGTCACCTGACACCAGTCCGAAGGATTTTTTTGGGTTCGGATACCTGAAACAGAAGCGTTTCAAGAAGAAGGCATCAACTTTGGCTGGTCTCTGGAAAGCTCTGAGGAAGGAGTGGCAACTTGTCTCGCCCGAAATGTTCCAAAAGGTGTTCGAGAATTGGAAACCGAGGCTGAGGCTTGTTGCCAAGAAGGACAGGCTACACGTTGAGAACACCAAAACAATTCACAGGCGTCGTCTCAAGGAATTGTGAGGTAATTTAAGCGTTACATTGAATGCCTAATCACCTTTTGTATTCACTAATTTAATTTACATGCCACCAAACTCCCTGTGATCTGTGACCTGACGCATAAGTTAATTGTCGAAAAATTTTGAAAAAGTTTTCTCGAAAATGTAGAAATTCCGAATTTTGCAAGATGTAGTCCATTGGTGACCCTCCTTTATTTCACTCCCAAACTGCCCCTGCCGGGCATGGAGTTGATCAGCCGGAATAGGAATAAATCTAAGTTCAACATATTTAGCTGGCTTTACACTTATTTATTTATTTTGATTATTCGATACGCTAATTCATGTACAATTATTTGGCATATCATTTATGTACAGTTTTGACAAAGTATTTATGTATGATATACTTAAGATTCATATTCGTGGTTAGATGGACACGCATTGATTACCCATCTTTGAGCATGGTCGTTGCTATTGGGCGTCGGAATAATTTCAAGATCCACACCGATATCGTTTGCAACCCTGGAAATTATACAGCAGAGTTAGACCAAGTTTTCATGGGCTTGATTAACAACATTTCAAATTCCGATTAAAACCAAAGTGTAACAAAAGTGCAATTATTTTCACTTTTACGCAAATTAATGTGGAAAACATATGTGCATATTTTGCTAGTAACCAACAATATTCAACTCCATATTTTTGATTGGTATTTAACAATGACGAGCCATATATCTACATAGCAACTTTGTACTTGAATAGTTTTCTAACCAAATCCGTTATATATTTAGATATTCAAACCATTCTAATGTTTTTTGAGAACTTTATTTTCTGGAATCTGAGGGGCTACGTTTTTACAAACTTGAGTGCACAATTCAACAAATTGGTGGAAAGTTGGTTCCCACTGTGTGTACTTTGCATAGTTGCAAGTTACTCGATAGATCGGTAGCGCAGGTACGTATTAATAACATTGACATGACGGAAAATAATTTACGGAATTTTTACCCGGTATATCTTATATTCCCAGTTCTACCACTACTTGTTTGGTAGATTGTGTGTGACGTCGTGCCAGGAACTTGAGTCAAGCTCCAAAATGCATCAGTATAATGTGGATCTCTGAATTTCTGAAAATTTAAAAATTTCATGCATATTAATGAATAATATATCTTAACTTATAATGAATGTCAGATTTGAATCTTCTAATCACGAAAATGTAAGGAAATAATCTGGAAGAGCAGTGCAAGCCAGATGACCACTGTTGGCTTCCAGTCCCGAGTGCAGAACGTATTATATAGTAACCATGGGTAACTACATACATATGCATGTATGTATACTAGTCTCAATCTCCTAGGAAACCCCATTTGCATAATTTGACGCATTCGCGAGAGACATAGAGTTTAGTCAACATGAAAAACCTTTATGCCGAAAATGGGCTAGTGAGATTTTTGCAAATGAGGTGTCCTAACAGATTGAGACTAGTATACACACATAATTTGAAATTAGACTAACTAGGAATAACTTTAAGGTGATAGCTGAAATTCGAGTTCTAATTTTGCTTTTTGCATAAATACATATCATAGCATGTTTTTCTTCAAAGTGCAAAATATTTTTGTGCAAAACTCATATGTGAATTTTTAAAAAACCATCCAAAGTTTGCCTAAAGGGGTGATGGGGGCTAAGGCATGAAAGGGAAAAGTGGGTGTGGAGGTGGGGAAGAGGTGAACCTCCACCTCGAATTTTGTTCAATTTTTTTATAAACTTTTTTTACAAACATTGTAATTTTTTCTCAATAGTGAAAATGTTTGTGAATTCTGAAAATCTCAAAAATTCGGAAAATTTTCGCCAATTTTGTTAAATTTATAAATAAAAATTTTTAACAAATATTGACAAATTTCGATAATTTTTTAAGTTTGGCAAAAATTTTGAAAATAAAATGTTCGGAAAAAATCAAATTTCGAAAAAATACGAATAATAAACATTTTCAGAATTGGAAAAATTTCCAAGCTTGAAAAGACAATTAAGTAAAAAATTTAACAACATTCGAGGCCACAGTTCGCCTCCTCCAGCACCCCATTCGCAAACTTTGGATGCAATTCAAAAATTCGCATATGAGTTTTCGAGAATATTTTTAGCACTTTCATGGAAAAACACACTATGAGTTAAATATGCTGAAGGTAAAATTAGAACTCATATTTCAGCTATAAAGTATCCCTAGTTAGTTTAGCTGAGAATAGGAGGATGTTTTATTAAAACGATACCGTTTAACTCCAATTTCCAGACTTGAGACAAATCTGAACAATTTGACACGTGCGGAATTGCATGAATTTGGTTTCCGTCATTAACAATGTGTTTATATACGCTGAAGGCCATCTGTAATGTATAACAAGTTTATTTAAAATTTGGCAAACTGATTCATAACCGTGCATACGCCTGTCGCTGAGTTGAAGATTGTGGAAGCCCCATGTATTGGGTCAGGTTGCTGTGTCGTAGTTGGTCGTGTGGTTGTAGTTAGACGTGTGGTAGTCGTTGGAGTGGTTGTAGTTGGACGCGTAGTAGTCGTTGGATTGGTTGTAGTTGGGCGCGTAGTAGTAGTTGGAGATGTTGAAGTTGGGCGCGTAGTAGTAGTTGGAGTGGTTGTAGTTGGTATGGATGTTGTCGTTGCGGCTGTAGTTGGTATGGATGTTGTCGTTGCGGCTGTAGTTGGTATGGATGTTGTCGTTGCGACTGTAGTTGGTATGGATGTTGTCGTTGCGGCTGTAGTTGGTATGGATGTTGTCGTTGCGGCTGTAGTTGGTATGGTAGTTGTGGGTGCGGTTGTAGTTGGTATGGTGGTCGTAGGTGTGCTTGTGGTTGGAGTTGTCGTTGGTGGACTCTGACTTTCTGCTGTGGTTGGCGAGGTCAAATCCCTGTGCGCAAAAAATTCAGCCTGTTATACGTATGAATTATACGGAGTACCCATGGGACGGGATGGGTAGGGATATTCTCGGGACGGGATATCCCGAAAGTTAACGGGTTGGAGAAGTCGGGACGGGATCCGGGACACACTACATCCCGTTCCGTCCCGATCGGGAGTTCAACAGTTACAACATTGTAATTTCAAACTTAAATTATTCTGTCAATTTATGAGCGATTTTAAAATTTTAAAAGGTTTTCTTTACCTGAGGCATTTCGACAAAACATGTATACTTCAAAATTATTTACACAACACCCCAATTACCAAAAATTAAGGCAACAATTTTGGTTTTGATGTTGTTAGTGAAATTTCGCAATAGCTGCAGTAGGGTGGTTTTCTACTTTCAAATGGGGTGTGCTGGGTGGCAAATTAACATAAAAAGGCTCATGGATGTGGCATACTTGAAATTTACTTTGGGGAATTAAGGGTTTAACTAATTCAAAATTTCAATTTTGGGAACTTCTGTGGTGGAACCTACTCAAATGTCAGTTTTGGGAGCTTTGAGGGAATAAGTAACTCAAATTTCAATTTTAGGAACTTTGAGGACGTAACCAACTCAAAGAGACCTATTTAATTTCCCTGGTTGTCTGGGCCCCTTCCCTTTGAAATGCTGCAGAATTTCTGGGCCCCCTTTTTCAATGGAATTTTTGCAAAGTTTGTTTTTATTTTGAAAAATATCTCTTGGCTACAAGTTGACATTTTGGTGGAGTGCAAAATATGGAGTTTTAGCCCGAGCCAGGGCTTATGTAACTCTCATTTGTGTCTGTCCGTCTGTTTTTGCGATAACGCGATAACCTGGATCGACTTCAAACTTGGTACCTATGTAGTATGGCTAAAAGTAGGAGTTAATTTCGAATATGAGCAAAATCGGTCAAGTGGTTGACCGGTGGGGGTCAGTGAGATCGGGTGGGGTTACTGGTGAAGAATGTTCGACGTAGTCGTAGAAGGGTGAAATTCGGCACAATGGTCCCAATGGAGGTATAAAGTCGGGCTATAAAATAAAAGTTGAAAATTTTGGACTTAAGGGACCCGAGTGGGTGATCCCCACCGGTGTCGAAAGGTTGACATATTGCGCAAATTTTTTTATGGTGGCAAAACCACATGACGTATGAGTAACAAATTCAACTTTGAAGATTTGCACCTTTCTTAGCTTTTTGGTCAATAAATCGGTTGTGGACTTAACTATCCACTAAGCTAAGAAAAAGTTACCCACTCCACTAAGCTAATCTAAGAAAATCGATTCTGGCAGTGGCCTTCTGTTGGCCTACATACTGTTGGCCCTCAAAGTAGTGTGGGTTTAAATATTTTTCACTGATAATGCATTTTTTGAGATGCTACGCAAGTGCCGCTTTTATTTCGAAGTTCGAGAGTCAGGGAATATGAAACCGCTATGTCTGTCAGTCCGTCTCTCCTTCCTCTGAGACACGATACAGCCATAATGGCTGAACCCAACGACTTGAAGCTCGGTACACATGTAGCTTAGGTCAAATGTAGAGCTAAATTTGTAGATCAGTCCCGGTGACCGCTGGGGGTGGGGTATTACGATCCAAAATTTCAAAATAGTGCTGTAATTAGTTTGAAAGCTTTAATTTGGCGTACATCCCGCTTGAGTTTTTTTAATTGGTTATAATCTTTAGTTGTTGTGATTATTTCAATTAGCCAATCAAAAAAATCCGATTGAGTCCTAATCCATTTCTTATAAAGAATTGAACCACGATTTGAAAATATAAACACCCTTGAAACCGTAGTTTGGACAAGCTTAGACTTTGGTGAACCCTATTTTCGTCATTCATATTAAAGTCCCAGCCCGCAGTAAAACTGAAAGTTCCAAGTCGATCGGATAAGTTTAACAAGAATTTTCGTAAATTGCAGAGATGGACAAGATCATTATCTCAGATACCAGATCAAGATTTTATCTTGATCTTTGATCTTCGAGCGCAGCTTTTGATCTTGATCTTTGAACTCAAAATTAAGAGCACAAATTTGAGTCTTTCTCAACCAATCTTTTATCTTTGGTACTCTACATATTTATCTTGATCTGTGATCTTTATCTTGATAAAGAGAAAGTTATCTTTATCTTTTATCTTTATCTCCGAAAACTTTGATCTTGCCCATCTCCGCAAATTAGACAGACCAACATGACAGATGCATAAACTCTGACATTTGAAAAAGGTGTGGACCTCCTGGCCAAAATACACAGCCTAATCGTAAAACTGATTTACCCCTCCAGCCTCATGCAGAATTTGAGCTTGCTACGACCATTTTCAAAAATCGGTGGGGATCACCCACTCGGGTCCCTTAAGTCCAAAATTTTCAACTTTTATTTTATATCCCGACTTTATACCTCCATTGGGACCATTGTGCCGAATTTCACCCTTCTACGAATATGTCAAACATTCTTCACCAGTAACCCCACCCGATCTCAATGGCCCCCACCGGTCAACCACTTGACCGATTTTGCTCATATTCGAAATTAACTCCTAAGTAGTTTTAGCCATACTACAAAGGTACCAAGTTTGAAGTCGATCTATCAAGTTTAAAAATACTTGTCGCAAAAACAGACGGACAGACACAAATGAGGGTTACATAAGCCCTGGCTCGGGCTAAAACTCCATATTTTGCACTCCACCAAAATGTCAACCTGTAGCTAAGAGATATTAAAAAATTACCTCATTTTTCGAAAAAACCACATGAAATCATGCGAAAATGTCCATCTTTGAGGACGGATATACATATGACCGGGGAATATCGGATTTTTGTCCAAAAGAACTTTTTGTCCATAATATTCTGAAATATCACATATGCAAATATTGGAAATCCGATATTCTCCGGTCGCCAAAAAAAGGGGGTGCAAAATTTAGCCCAAAAACTTGGTAACATGAATTTGTATCTTTTAATTTTTAGAACTTTTGGGTGTAACTAACTCAAATTTCAGTTTCGGAAACTTTGGGGGTGTAACTAACTTAAATTTCAGTTTCGGGAACTTTGGGGGTGTAACTATCTCAAATTTTAATTTTGGGAACTTTGGGGGTGTAATCAATTTAGATTTTAAATTTGGGAACATGGGTATTAGAATATTGTGTTTTGTTTGTAATTGTTTATGTATAATTTTGTCCGCAGCTGATAAAAACCATGTTGAAAAGCCAATACATTACAATAATATGCAAAAAGCCCCATTGCGATAGGGACGGGACGGGATGAAGTCTATCCCGTCCCGAATGCCGTTCCGAAAGCACTTCGGGATGAACAGAAATGTCCCATCCCGTCCCGATAGCTCATCCCGTCTGGCGGGACGGGATTATCACGTCCCGTGGGAAGGCCGCCGTATGATTAAGTTACTTAATCATACTTAATTTAAGTATCTACTTTAGTGGACAGAAATAATGGTACGATTAAAAATTTCTCTAGTTCACATTTTAGTGGCAAACATAATTTTAAACTTTTTACAGCAGCAGCCAAAACATTATATTGTCCAAGGGTTGCATTTTTTAAGAAGGTTTGGAATTTTTTAATCAAACCAGCTTTGGTGATTTTTTATCTGTACATACTTAATACGCGTAGTGTTAAACTTTTCAAAATTATCCAAACTCAGCAATTCATAACTTTGTTCAAGCAAATCGTGGAGAGATCAACGAGACGTCGAAATGTTCAGGATGAGTTTGCCAATCAAAATAAAAATGATACCACTGGACAAAATGACTTGGAGTAGCAGAAAAGTGAGCTTTTTGTAAACAGTCGTGACCTTTGACCATTTCCAAAAACTGGAACGTCATCCAGTCACAACCTACTACTCAGAATATTTTTAAAATTTTATCTCAACAAATATGAGAGATAGAAGAATTTTGTAGTAAGGTATGATACAATATTTTGCATACTGTATGTATTTACTATTGATCTAAATATAACATTAATAACGGAAACAAATATAAAAATCCAGGACTGTTGCAATACTTACGGTGTGGGTGGAGTTGTGACGATGACGCAAGGTGTCCAACTTTCATGATCACAAACAAGCAGATCTTGATTCCACACCGTGCTAGGAGGACAACATTGCACGATCGGGTAGCCATTAGTACACACTATGAACTTGCGGCAGTCGTAGGGGAATGGCAAGTAAGTGGGAACACCCTCCTCCCAAGAAGGGCAGTCAGTCAACTACGAAAATACACATAAATATATATATATATAATCAGTAAGTTTTCATGGATGGATTACAATTTCTGTTATGCACATGTAAGTAGGTTACTACTTGCACTGTTAGATTTAAAAATAATATATTGCCTCAGGTTCGCCATCACATTGCAGAACTTTAGAGTCGGACAGTGTAAAAAGAAATAGCAGCAATGCCACAACTTTTACGTTGAAGTGTCCCATCCTTCTCCTATTTTAGGCTGTGACAATATCTTGACGTTGGTAAAGATGTAACGTCGACACGTTAAATCTGTCTGAGTCTCTGGCATTGCTGTCCCAGTCTTTTTATAACTAAGTGTTCCGCAAATTATCGCGAACGTGAAAGCTTTATCTAAAATTAGGTTCTGTTTAAGAGGAGTTGGTTATTAGGGTATCAAAAGGCCGAAGTTAAATTGACCTGATAGGTGCGAAATTTATTGAATTTTCAAGTTGGTCAATTCGTTGAAAACCAAGCTGAATTTGTCAATTGATTGATCGATCGATAAATGCGAAACACTTGACTGTGTTGAAACGAATTTTTATTCCAGAAATAATCTAATGATTGCATTCCTCGCGTAATTGTTCCATAGGTCGGTCTCTGTGCATTCTGGAGGTACATATGTACGGTAGAATGCGTCCTCTTACAATACGTATTCTAAAATTATATGCCCGATATTCATAGATATTATTCATTTCCGTAACGCATTTTCATCTGCATGTAAAACCTGAGTACCTAAATTAATTAAATTGGTTGGAATGGTTCTGGTTGCACCATAATTTTATTAGTCTCAAAATGGTGTGTATAAATATTTATACATAAATTAATTTCCCGGACAAAAATTCAGACACAATTGCAAAACATGAAGCACAAACGGCAAAATAAACGTCAATTGAGTTAGCAATGCTGTGGGCTGGAGAATATAATTTAAAAGTACATATTTTACCGTACGTACCTCCGGAATGTCGAGAATGGGATATACTTATCAGCCCCCCTAAATTAATGAGATGATCCACTATTGACATTACCACTACGTAGAATACACAGAGCCCTATCTACAAAAGAATTATGCAAAGGTATGCAATCAGCAGATTATTCCTGGAACCAAAATTCGTTTAAACTGAGTCAAGTGTTTTGCCTTTGTTACTCGATCAATCAATTGATAAATACGGAGAAGAGCTTGGATTTCAATGAATCGACCAATTTGATAAAAGAAATTAAATTATGTTGTTCTTATCTGGCCAGCCAAAACTTAATTTTAGCTTTTTAATACTCTTACATCACCTCCTAAACACCACTGAAGTTATGGTAGAGCTTTATTCATCTCAATTTATTCATCTCTGGCATACAACCTCTCATTTCTTCGCTGACATTAAAGTTCATCATGATTATGGGCAATAATTTCTTTTATATTTACCATGGCTCAATCACCTTGCATCATGCGATTTTATACAAACTTCTTCACAACATAGTAATAAAATAAGAATTTAATTGGCACATTTTTTAAGTTGGTAAGTACTGTGGATGAAGTTCTAACCCTGCAGACTTATTACACCGCTTTGTAGCATTAATTTCACGACGTCACCGGTCAAAAAAATTTTTTCCTCCAAACTGGTCCAAAATAAAAGTCTAGCATGGGAATAGTATAGAAAAATTATTTTTAGCGTTCTATGACCCCTGGGTCATGAATTAAGGGCCCCTGAAGGGTCAAATAGCGTTCCCTGATAACCCCATGCAAATGGGGTATCAAATTAATCCCCTGGACCAGGGGAACCAGAAAAATATTTTTATAAATTTTTATGACCCTTGAGTCGTGAACTAGGAGCCCTTGAAGGGTTAAATATCATTCCCTCACAACTAAAGGCAAGTGGGGTATCAAATTAATCCCCTGGACAAGGGGAACCCAAAAAATATTTTTCTGGATTTTTTTGACCCTCAGGTCAAGAGTTAAGGGCCCCCGAAGGGTCAAAATAGTAACCATGGTAACCCCATGCAAGTGGGGTATCAAATTAATCCCCTGGCAAAGGGCAAGCATAAAAATATTTTCCTGATTCCCCTGGTCCAGGGGATTAATTTGATACCCCATTCACCTTAGTTACCATGGTTACTATGTTGACCCTTCAGGGACCCTTAACTCTTGACCTATAGGTCAAAAAAATTCAGGAAAATATTTTTATGCTTGCCCTTTGCCAGGGGATTAATTTGATACCCCACTTGCATGGGGTTACCATGGTTACTATTTTGACCCTTCGGGGGCCCTTAACTCTTGACCTGAGGGTCAAAAAAATCCAGAAAAATATTTTTTGGGTTCCCCTTGTCCAGGGGATTAATTTGATACCCCACTTGCCTTTAGTTGTGAGGGAATGATATTTAACCCTTCAAGGGCTCCTAGTTCACGACTCAAGGGTCATAAAAATTTATAAAAATATTTTTCTGGTTCCCCTGGTCCAGGGGATTAATTTGATACCCCATTTGCATGGGGTTATCAGGGAACGCTATTTGACCCTTCAGGGGCCCTTAATTCATGACCCAGGGGTCATAGAACGCTAAAAATAATTTTTCTATACTATTCCCATGCTAGACTTTTATTTTGGACCAGTTTGGAGGAAAAAATTTTTTTGACCGGTGACGTCGTGAAATTAATGCTACAAAGCGGTGTAATAAGTCTGCAGGGTTAGAACTTCATCCACAGTATATCTATGTAATTTGAAGGGCCAAATTAAATATGTTTTGTAAACATTAATTTACACCATAATATTACAGTAAATACTTCATTAAAATTAAGACGAATCAGTTTGACTCAAAATGTGTTGGCATGTATGCAATTTGTTAAAATCGATGGTGTCATCTTTATAGTACTTTATGTTTATCAAAGAGTAAAATATTACATCGCAGAGCTTGTGTGATTACTTGTGTATCAATAACAATGCATTTGTAGAAAAAATCATTTTTCGACTACAAAGGTTTCGCATAATTGCAGAATAAAACCATAGAAATGTGAAAATATTAAATAAACTCGCAGTTAAAATGTATCAGTCTTGTTTGGTTAATATCCACACTATTGATGTTATTCTTAAATCATTAGATACGTACTGGCCATAATGTTGCAAATACTAATTACATAGACCGTGACGCGTATTTATGTAAATCCAAAATAATTATTTAAAAATTGGGCAAATTGGTTGACGTGAACTGGCACTCAAATATACTGGAATTTTTAAACAAAATATTTTACATAAATAAATATTTTATACAAAATATTTTTACACAAACTTCTTAAGCTACCTATCTTTCTAAAGATAGGTAGCTTAAGAAGTTTTCAGCACTGGATTAATTATGAATAGTTACACTAGCCGAGCGTATCTGGCTGGTATTTACTAGTATTGTTATAACAATATTATTACAATTACTAATTAGGTAAAGGTATAAGGTAAAATAATTTTTGTACATATACGTACAATAAATTTAATAGCTTATACATATATAATCTTAATCTAGGAATTAATGAATTAGAGAGGCGGGCACTTGCCCACGGTGATGCAAAATTGACCACAGGATTTAAATACGAATAACTGAGATTTATGCCTTCATTTTGGCACTAACTTGTTTTCTAGTTTTTAGTAGCCTCACCTAAGTTGGTTTTTTAATAAGTTTTTTTACAAGTTTTTGAATGAAGTAGATTCCATTTTTAGCGCAAAACGATTGAGATATTCGTGTTTAACCCCATATGAATATATATAAAATATAAGTAAAATTTCCATATTTTTTACAACATCCATACATATTTATTGCTATTTGAAATGATGTCGATTGCTTAAATCCCACCCAGGAATAATGTCAAAAAACATAAAACCGCCAGAATTCTAATTCAGATATTTCCGATCTCTCTGCACACTATAACGAGGTCCCGTAGACCAAAATAATGAGGATTTCAAAAACACCCAGTTAACAAGCGTCTAAAACTGTTAAAGCTAAAATTTCGACATTTTTACCTTTGACCCCCATGTACATTTTCAAATGAGGTTTTTAAATCAGTGCCAGAAATACCATTTTTAGGGGTGGAAGATCCGATCCGTCAAATCCGATCCGATCCGACGGATTTTAGTTATCCGGCCATTTGCCATAACATTAATCTGACCCGATCCGATCTGCGGATCGGATCCATGTTATAGCAAATGGACGGATTATCTGTAGGATCGGATCCTGATTATCCACCACTAACCGTTTTCTACTTGCCAAACAAAACTGCAAATATGTATTCATACCCAAACGAGGAATTATACCTTCGTCATCAATATCCACCTCTGGATGCGAAGGCAACTGTGCCAGTGAGAACGCATTCCTTCTACTTGTCCAACTTCAATCTAAAGCTACCATCCAAGCCAAATTTCTCCCGAAGTCATAGGGAAAATTTATTCATTTCTTATCCGATTAACCTAACCCCTAATTAGTGTCATATTGAGTACTATTAAATGTGACACAATAAAATCAATAAGAGCAATATACCTTCGATGGTGTAACCTTTTCAAGAGTCCATTTGAAAGTTTAAAAACGCTTTTAAATCAACTAAACGATATATTTTGGAAATTCTGAATTGAAAACCGAAATCCATCCGTGATTCTTTGCACAATTTCTATGTACATAATTTTGATATGATCAGCCGTTAAAAAGTAATCTCGACGCGACCCTTCAGAGAAGGGTCTGATTGCATACTTGGCTTCGCTGTACCCATGCATTTTTGCGTTGAGCATGCATGGCTACTTTGCCTCACCTAAGAATAAATGCACATAAACCGCTGGTGTATTTATTTTCATACATCAGTAGAGTACGATACAACGTAGAAATTGCATAAGTTTCGCATAACTGATGTCATCATGTCATCATGACATTGTCATGTATGTAAAATTGAGACGTGACAATTGCACAAAGTCCAAACAGTAAATATTGGACTATCGAACCATTTCGTTATCTTTGAGTAATAAATTGCATAATAGATTACGCGATAAGAAATACAACCCTATGCACCTGAATACGTACATATTTATGTATTGTAAAAAAGCGTCAATTATTCTAAATAAAAAGACGAGATCGACCAGTCTCATCATCTATCACTTCCAAACTTGGAGACGCCACTAAAAAAATTAAAAAAAACAGGTCCACACCCGAAATTTAAAAATCTGTTTACAAGTCTTAAAAATACAAATTTTCTTTCTTCGAGTTCAAAAATTCTGCAATTTTCCCTTCAATTTTTCCTCATTGGAATTCTGGCCTGCTCCTCTTCTGTCTTATCCTACCCGGACGTTTACATTTTAAACGCCACCCTGCCCATCGCTTTCACCTACACGACGGCCGAGTACGTTGGCGGGAATCAAATCTACATCATTGGCGGGGAAACATCGGAATCTACCACGCTCGATACGGTCTTCCGTTTCAACATTACGGACGAAACGACCACCCTGGTTGGTCATCTGCCCGGTTTTGCAAGTACCGGAGGGTGTGCCTTCGTTCCTTCGGAAGATGTCATCCTCTACATGGGAGGCGGATTCTGGATCCCTGACCTCGTCCGGATATCCCTCAACCGCTCAGGAGACAGTATTTCATCCACGATTGAAGGCAATCTTGGTTCGAATCACCTCAT